TTTGTGCAATAATTCCAAGAATAAACTGATGTGTGCTTCCATATCACCATTTTCTTCTAGCGTCAACCTGCAAATCCGCTTTAATAGAAACACCATGCTAGATAAACTTGATTTTTGGTGATACTCCTTTAGTGCTTCCCACCTCACGTGCATATTGCTTATTTCTGATATGCACCAATTGACTAACATCGACAAGTAGGGCTATAGTTGATAAGGCTTTGTCATTTTCCTTTTTCCATTTGGCGTCTTGCGCTGCTTGTGTTGGTACTGCAGTCGATACTACGTCCCATAAATCAGCATTTATGAGTAACATTTTCACCAGATAATTCCATGACTCGTAATTCTGCCCGTTCAATTTTTCAATGTTATACTTGGCACCTTCCGCCATTATTCCGGTTTTTAAGAGTTTCCGCGAACACAACTCGCGATTGTACCCTTTATTTATTATCTCTTACAGGAGAGCTAACGCGACGTAGCTGGGCCCATAACCTGTTCAAATTTGGAGATAATATCAGATACAATTTAAAGTAGAAAACTATTTTATTAACCGGAAAATGAACAATAGAAATTAATAAAAATAATATAAAAAATGACTACTACTTTGACAAATTGTCACACTAACTAAAAACTGGTTCACAGGTGTACAAAAAATAATTATAAATAAAAGAATGCAATCCTATTGATTGTCTCAAACCTTGATACAGACCCATGAAAACTGTTTACCTATTCAAATTTAAAAATGATTATTGTTGAACAAGTATATTATTTCAACACTAAGTAGCTCTCCATATATTCCAATAGCTTCTAGCTTTTTCAACAAGATGCCATGATCAACTCTGTCAAAAGTCTTGGAGAAGTCTGAGTAGATGACATCAACCTGACACTTATATTCTCCAAGAATTCCAACAGAGACTGCTCATAGCATAATAGATTGGAGATTGTTGATCTTGATTTCACAAAACCATGCTGCTCACTGACAATTATGTGCCTGAAGTGAGGTGCTATTTTATCTGCCACTATTGATTCAAAAATCTTAGATATCAAAGATATTTTTGAAATAGCACGATAATTTTTTATATCAGAACGATCTTCATCCTTAAAAACAGGTGTCACAAAATATTTTTCCAACACAGGGGAAATATTCCATTGCTTAGATAAGTTAAAAATTTTACAAAGAATTTCTGCTAAAAAATATTTACAATTTTGTAATAAAATGACAGGCATTCCATTTGGACCTAGTCCCAATGTTTGTTTCAAACTACAAATTTTATTAAAAACATCAATCACAGACAGTTGTAAAAAACCAAGACTAACAGACTTATCATAGACAAACGACACATTTGTATCCCCATATTTTGAGTAAACCGAATAGAATGACTGTTAAACATATCAGAAATCTCCTCTGGATGATTACTGGATTCCTAATTAAGAGTCGTAGACTGAGGGTACTCGGAGTTACCCTTTTAGAGTTCACAAAATTCCAAAAAGACTTTTTGTCTGTCAACTGCGCTTCCATAAATTTAATATAACTTTGATGACTGGAAGATGACATATCTCTACACTGTTGCCTTAAATTTGAAAAAACAGCATAGTCCTGAAGAGATTGTGAAGCTTTAAATATCTTGTGTACCTTCTTTTTCTGCAAAATTAGATCTTTCAACTCATATTCATCCATTTAGGGAATTTGGGTGTCGTAAATCTACCTATGGGAACAAATGAGTTAACTGTATCGTACAGTATGTCATAAAATTCCGAAACCACCAATTCCAAATCAGTACACTCAGAAACAAAGGATCAATCAACAGTAGACAGGAAACAATTAAGATCACGATAATTTACACATTTAAAATTATGATAAAAGTAATCACATGACATATTCTTTGGCTGACTATTACACAAATTAAAACTGTATTCAAAGGCTGGATGTGAAGCATCCAGTCTTAGCAATGGCTTATCACAGATGAAAACATGAATATTCATATAGTTAGAAAACAGCACATCTAGAAAATAACCATATTTATTTGGAATGTCGATATTCTGATACAATCCCAGGTATGCAACACAGTCAGAGATCGCCGAAGATTCCATGGAGAGATTTCCAACTGGTAGTGTTCCATTTTCACCATTCACCCAAGATATCTTTGGAAGGTTGAAATCACCCTACAGAAAAATATCTGTGAAGGTGTTCTCGTCCACCAAGTGCATAACCGAGAGACCAAAAGCCTCGTAGACATCCACACCTGAGACACCAGGGATATATGCAATCCCAATCAAAATTTTCTTGTTATCGACACCAATCGAAACAAAAACATGTTCAACACTGTTAACTGGAGTGATTAGCTGACGACATGAAAGTGAGCTCCTGACCGCAATAAGAACACCACCCTGAGACAAGCAAGTGCTGTTTTTTTCTGATCTGTCACGTCTAAAGACCAAGCACCCATCAAGGCCAAAGTCACCTGTTAATACTGAACTGTCAAGAAAGGTTTCAGTTAACAGTATCACATCATAATTTTTTGTAACAACATTATACATTAAAGCTTGCAATTTAGATTTTATTCCTCTAATATTTTGATAGTAAAATGCTAGAGTGTTGCTGTCACTGTTTGTAGGTTGGGAAAATTTCCATAGAGCCTTTGTGATTGGGCCCTCTGCCTGCTACGATAAACAAAAGGCCGAAAAATGGTGTTGAGTGGCCAGAAGTCAACCTTATCGAGCAAATCATAGAATGTCTCACAAACTCCAACCTTGAAACTTCTAGAGTTTTCTTTAGTGGGCAATTCCTCCACGACCAATAGCTAATAGCTTATTGTCAGATATGTTGGCCTTTTCTTTAACATAATCAAAAATTATTTGTGATGTTGCCCCACGATCAACATGTCCCAAAAACAGCCATTTCTTATCAGGTACTCCTCGAAACAAACCCCCTGAAGAGGCTGCTGCCTTTGCTAACGGGTTCCTTTATTGCTATGCGTTTGTTTGGGCTGGTTTTGCCCTGCTAGGTTTGGATCTGTATAGTTAGGTAAAACTGTCTGTATCATTGCATTATCTACAGCTACTTAAACCTGGCTATAACTATCAATGCTATCATCCCCCACAATTTTGTCATTATTATGGAGAGAGTGAGAACTTGACCGCTGAGTCTGTGGTACAAAAAGTTTATTATTTTTGTTTTGATTTGGCGATTTTCTAGGGTTATGTTGAGATGATCCGATTTCTTTATTTTTATTATTGTTTAGCCTAATATCCTTGCTTATAGCTTACCTGACAAAATCAGCTGATAGTCTGCCAGCTGCAGGCCGAGTTGCAAAGTTCAATGATGCCGTCGGAGGTTGAGGAGATGAGGGGGGCTTGTTCACATTTTGTTTTTCCTTCAAAATACGGATTTCTTTACACAATCTTCGATTTTTGGCTTCAATATCCAAAATTCCACCATTCAGAAGTTCATGATTTCCCATCATAGTCAGCACTAAGCGATTCAGTGTTTCATTTTCTTTCAACACGATGTTTTTAATGGCGTCATCCTCGATTTTTGGTGCGCACAATGGACAAAAAATTTGCCCGATTCCGAGGGTTTTCGCACCCTTAAACACTCTTTACTCGCGCCAAACGTGCTGGGTGGTACTGCCGGGAACACTTATCACACTTTAAATCGGTTTTAACATTTTTTTTTTTGCAATGATCACACACTATTTTTGCATTTTGACTATCGAAAAAAGCTTCAAACACTTCATTATCCGCCATCTTTGTACACAGCGCAACTGCTTTTTGAATCGTTATTGTTAGAAAGATTTTTTCAGGTAATGACCAACGTGAATACAGGGACACTGCGGTCCCTGTTTGGGAATCGGCCCACTGAGCAGTGGACTCAGGCTTCCCGTGCCAATCCTTGACGCGTTTCGTCCTTGTTAGGACTCATCAGAAGTTTGATTTTTGAATCGTTTTTTATAGTATTTGCACTTTATTCTTTCATGAATAATAACTTCTTCTTCTGATTTGGCCGCGTTGCTATATAATGTCTGTCATTCGAGAGCAAATATTCAATAGGGTACTCCCCACTGGCATCACAGCCAATTATCATTTGTTTGTTTCTGGGTTTATTGTCCCCTGGAGGCACTGAATACCTCTTGCCTGGCGTTAATATCCCTATAGCTCCAGGCACTAGATCTTTGGTGATGAATTCTGAAAAAGAAACAGAACGAATTGCTATTCAAGTTGTGCTGATTTGGAATATTTTTATTGGAAGTTTTGGTTGTGAGAAATAGTTTGAAATACCACAAGGCTAGAAACCTTGCTAAAGCTCTGATGAAAGATTGATTTAGCCGATTCTTGATGGAAATGCAATACAAATTTTGGAAGGAAACAAAGAATTTTCTAGATTTCCAAAGTTCCATGTTACGGTTTCCTAAAAATAAACTTGTGAAAATCTAGTTTCCTTTCAAAATATGATTTTGGTAGGTAATATTGAAGATGAAAAATATAAGTAGTTTAAAGGTATAAACAATAATTATTGTTTTTCATGCTGGAGAAAATCGAATCAAAAACAAAAACACGTCTTCACAAAAAAAAACATTAGGTACTGCTGAAAATTGAAAGCATGGCATGGCAGAGGGAGGAGAGCTTAAATTCGAGTTGACGTTTAAATTAAGGGTTTATTTTGATTGATTTTATATGGACCACTTTCAAAAGGAAATTAGTCATCTGTTTTTTTTCCAATTGCATTTTTTTCCCTACTGTAAAATTAATTTGAGCCTTTTCTCCTTCAAATAATAAAATATGATAATGAGAACAAACGGCAGTTGAGTGGAATACAGAAATAGTTTGCCCACAACTTATAATTTAAACTCTTCCCTAGCAAAATTTCCCAATACTTAGAAACACAGAACATAATTTATATTACAGCGACCTTACAGCTATCATCACAAAAAGGATCACAATATTGTTTATACTACTGATTCCAAGGAAATCAAAATTAATTATTCACTATATAATTCCTGTAGGGTTTGGTAAATACAGTGCTACGTCAAAAGCCAGGAGCTCTAACTTTAGCCAACAAAGCCATAAAATCAATTTGGTCCGATCCAACCTCGATGTTTATCACGGTAAAAGCCCGCGAGCTTCTTTTTGATGGTATAATAATTAACTGTGGGGTATCGGATTTCGCTGGGAAAGCTATTTGTACGAACTTGAGAGCGGAACCGTCCTTGAAGGCTATTAATGAGGAGGAGTTGGCTTTTTCTTTACTAGGACCTGTAAGTTATATTATTTTTTTTAAAAATTATTATTCTAATTGATTTGATTGTAGAAAAATGCCACCCCAGGTAAACGAATCAGAGCGTTTAGAGGAATTCAAGATTTCCATCACGTAGGCAAAATAGTTACCTTCGATGGTAAGTCCCAAATGGAAGTTTGGAACAGCTCGAAATGCGACGCGATAATTGGAACCGATGGGACGATTTTTCCGCCTTTGGGGAAAAAGGAAGAGGCAATTTGGAGTTTCGCTCCAGATATTTGCAGGTAAGTTAATGACGATCGCTTGAGCAGTCTTCATATAGTGATTATTTTAGGTCTCTTCCTGCTGTATTTGAAAAGAAAACTAAATATGATCAAATTCCTGTTGGTTCTTTCACTGCTTCATTGGGTGACGCATCGAAAAATCCAGATGAAAAATGTTTTTGTACTAATCCTGATACTTGTCTTAAAAAAGGTAAAAATTATTCCCCAATACATTGTATTGATTTCATAGAAATTGGTAGATTATACAATACAAAATCAAAACTGTTATAGGATTAATGGATCTGTATAAATGCACTAAAATACCATTGTATGCCTCTTTGCCACATTTTTACGATAGCGATGCAAGCTATGTCAATGGTGTGAGAGGATTGAAACCTGTAGCTGAAAAGCACGAAATAAGGATTTTATTTGAAACTGTAAGTTTAATCAAAATTGTGGGTTGTCGTTTTTCCCACTAAAAAATTTACTTTAAATTTCCATTTAAACTGATAATATGAAAAAAAAATTTGGTTTTAGATGACAGGTAGTCCACTTCACGCCAGAAAAAGATTACAATTTAGCATGCCTTTGGAACCCAACGCTAAAGTGGATCTTTTTCATAATTTTACCACAACTGTGTTTCCTCTATTTTGGATAGAAGAGGTAAGAGGAACATCGATAACGCAGGTATAAAAAGTTATAATCTATTGATTTTTTAGGGTGTCGACCTCAATAAAACCTACACCAAACCCATCAAGAATTTGTTCATGGTGAAAAAGGCTGTCGGTGCGATAAAGGTCATTTTTCTTATCGGCTCACTAGCAGGTAATCAGCAAAAAATCCTCTTTCAATATCCATTATCACGTGAAATGCATTCTTGTTGAGTTTCATTAACTTCTGGCCTAATTTAGGATGCTATTCCATTCTTTCATTTTCCACCTGGGAACTTTCCAAATCCTACTTCTGGCTTCCGTTGGATTCTAAAGCAAGAGCTTCAAAGTTCATCTCAATGCCCAAGACAGTATTATGGCCTTCTCAATTTCTTTTGATGTTTCTTCTTCAAGTGCCTTGTCCTCTACGAACGTTGGCAATTTTCCGAATAGACTTGTCGTGGTTTCGCCATACCAGTGACGCAAGTTCTTTAGTCAAAATATTCTTTGACGACCAGGGCCTCTTCTGCTTTCGATTTTTCCTTCGATTATGAGCTTGAGAAGTAGGTACCCATCTGGGATTCCTGAATATGTGTTCCAAGTACTCTAACTTTCGCTTTTTTACTTGAAGATTTTTTACATTCTCGTTAGAACATCATTGCGCACACTGTCCGTCCAAGATATTTTTCTCATCCGTCTATGTGTCCACATTTTGAAAGCGTCTAGTTTTTTACACATGATGTCTGTCAGAGTCCACGTCTCAATCCCATAATAGAGAATACTAAAGACGTAGCAACGTAGTACTCGAGTGCGAACGGATAGTGAGAGACCTCGACTACACAACACGGACTTCATTTTTAGAAATGATGGCTCTTTTAATCCTGGCACGAGCTTCCTACATGTTATCCCAGTCTTCATTAACCTAGGTATCTGTATGATTGGACCTGATCGATCTGTAGGTTCTGTACCTGAAGAATACCTCCTTCAACCTGGTTCTTATCAGTCACCACCCATTTAATTTTTTTTTGGCGTTCAATTTTAATCCAAATTCTCCACTTTCAGTAGCCAAATGATCAAGTAATATTTGAGGACCTGCCAGAGAATCAAGGATTAAAACCGTATCGTCCGCATACCGAAGATTGTTAAGATGTTCACGCCGCTGATAGAAATTCCCTTAGTGCAATTTTCCAATGCTTTTCCAAATATTTTGTTCGAATAAATATTAAAAAGTAATGACGTAATGATGCAACCCTGCCGGACACTTCTTTTTATCCCTACTTCGTCAGACATACGTCTTCTTTGATTTGTGGAGTCTGATTCCAGTAGGGATTTGCGATTATCTTGAGGTCTCTATCATCTAGACATCCTTGAGAATTTTCATAAGCTTCTCATGATGCTAACAAAGGCTTCCCTGATACCGGTCCACACAGTCTCTACCTATTGATTATCTGCCCTATTTCCCAGGGCTTCCAATCTCCAAAACTAAAACTGAAGCCCGTGCTGCCACGAAGTGCTTTCCATCAGCAAATTACGATCCTTTAATAATTGCGCAGCTCTTAGCTTTAGTTAAGTGTAAAAACTCTCCTCAGAAGGTATCACAAATGAAAAAATGGTATGAGAACCGTATTGGAACTGAAAAAACTGATTGGTTAGGTGCACAAGTTCACTCTACCAGGTTCAAGGAACATCGCTTGAAGAAACTAGGATCAGACCTACTCATTTAATAATGGCAAAGAGGTTTATATTTCTCATAAGAAAACAATTGGTTCAGCTTTGTAACAAGTAACAGAAGATGAAGCGGATAAAATTGTGGACGTTGCTGTTTTATTGAGGAAATATACCCTTTTTCAACAAATGGTTCATTTAGCTTAGGTTATCGCAAAGCCTCTTTTGACTCTGATGAATGTGATGCTCTAAGGGTCAAGCCCCATAGCAGAAACTATTACAGATGATGACCAGACCAACATAAGTGCCAGAATAAAAGTGGCGAGCACCATTTCTCAGCTGATTTGTAGCAACTCAACGAACCAATCCAGTCAGTCCATCAGTCTGTATCCACGAACGGACGGAGAAACACCCTTTCCTCTCTACTTGGGAATGAAGCTTCAATCCAATGACAGAAACAAAATATTCGAACATTACATGCTCTGGGAATTTCGGTTTCATATGATCATATCATGGAAGTTAGGAAACTGCTTGCACAACCTGTATGTAAGCAGTGCCAAGACGGTGGAGTTATTGTACCCACAAACGAACTTCATGGAACTGCCACATCGCTAATCAGTCATCCCACCTATGTTAACATTGGGAAGGATCCTCCACCACTCACCCTGGATCCTTATTCTTGAAACAGAGGAGCAGCTTTACCAGGAGAACTAGTGTTCTGTATATCATTGATAAAGACAAAAAACTGGTTCTCCTGGTCCCCTATTCTTGACCGCCCGGGAAAGGAGTGTTCCCGGGAACGTTACCAGGAAAGCTAGTTCATTTTCGCTTCCGGGAGCTAAAAGGTCATATTCTTGAATACCCACAAGCGCTCGCAATGTTGCCGCCTTGAACGGCATTTGCGTTTGATAATTTATTTACTTTTGATTACCCTATGAACATTATCGCTGTAAGTTTTCAGTAATTGCATTCCTCCTATGGGATTTTTTAAACATGAGGGAAATATTCTGCATTTCCGCATAATTTTCCGCAGAATAAATTCCATATTCCTGTTCCTTAACTTCGTGTGACTCATCAACTTCTGGAATACTGTTTTCAATGCATACTGCATACCTTCCTTTGTAGTTAGGGTTAAAGCCGAGACTCGCGTTGGAGCAGTAACATACGGAGTAACCATATCCACATTTCGTGGCATACATTTTTGTTACTCTAAAAAATTTCACTAATTTCTCGTCTGAAAGAGAAAAGGAATTCTTTGAGGCAGAACATCTCATCCTATTTCTATTGCTTCTGCCGCATTTTCCATATCTTCTTGAATTATGTTATCTTATTCAAGATAATTTCATTAAAATAATCCACATTCATTTTAATGAAAATTTAGGGTAATAATAATGAATCAATCATCTCAGATATTGAGAAAGATGATAAATTATGGATGGCAGAACGACATTGGTTACAGCATGTGAACAGAGTATCACATGCTGTTCCTAAAGGCGGATAGTGGATCCAAGGGTCTATATGGTCAGAAAGAAGACAAGGAGGTCATCGAGATTTCAAAACCTGAGGTGCTTAGGGTAATAGATGATTTTGAACGTAATTTGAATAATTTATCCCTAAATAATCAGAAACATCAGGAATCGTCTACTGCAGAACAGACAAAATCCCCTAAAATAATACCAGTATTTGCTGGACTTAGCGCATTGGGCGCTTTGAGTGGAGGAGCTGCAGGAATTGCTAGAGCTGTTTATGATGCTAAGTCAGCTAATCAACATAGTTGAAAGATAATCAACGTCATAATTAAACGATGGAATCCACTGCCATAGGAAAAGGATTATTCTTGAATCCATACAAAACTGGTCTGGGTCTTTTTTTACACTAAGGAGGATGTCAAACAAAAATCCCTTGACAATGTTTGAAAAAGCATGACCTATAAAACTACCACAACATCGAGCTCTATCCAACATTAATTTGGAAAAATATGCAAAGTTACTGAAACTAAAACATTTTCGTGGTGTATTCATGAAGGATCACTTAGCAACCATGAAAATATACAAAACCGAATCTGGTATTATTAATTTGGATAACAGCACAGGTGCTAGAACTCATTGGACGGCATATAAAAAAATTGGTAAGAACATCCATTATTTTGATAGTTTTGGCAATTTGCGACCACCTCCGAAATCCGTCAAATTCCGTTATAAATTTTTGTGTCTTGTCATACGATTATGTATATCCGAATTCTTAATTAGTTTGTCAAAAAGGTATTCAGGAAGACCATTGTGTTTTATTCTATAGACAAGACGTGAAAGATGAAGCTGAAACCTTTCCTCAAGTGTAAGCCACTTTGAGTTGTTTGAAGAAGGTGTAATATGATCAAATTTACGAACATTGTAACTAAACCTAAGGCAAGCGTTCTGAACTTTCTGCAAGCTGTCTCTATCCCTCTGCAGTAAGGCAGGCCAATAAACAACATCACAATAATTTTAAATGGGACCAAATTAAAGAGTCAGTCGATCGTAATTTAGTCTCTATTCAGCGCGTCCTTGTGCATATATAATAATTTTAATTTTCCAAAGGTTTTTTGAATTAAAGTGGACACATCATCAGAGAAACGTGAATCAGAGTCAATGAATAGTCCTAAGTTTTTGCACTACCAGGGCATAAGGTGACTCCATTAGCTGTTACAAGAAAATCAGGATTTCCCCCCACCACATACTGGTATGCCTAGCCCAGGACGCTCTCAATCGTTCAGGGAGGCATCAGTACTTGCTTGTACTGGATATGCCGGCAGTTATAAAATCAAACCGTGCCACAGTTTGCGGGGAATATGAAATTATGTTACCTACTGCCATTTATAGAAAGCAAAATTACTCCTAACACCACCAGAGTAGATGCAGTTTGGGACACATATCACGATGGCAGCCTTAAATCACAGACCCGGGACAAACGAGGTGACGCTTCAGGGCATCAAACTAGAGTGCCTGCAAAAATTCCTATACCAAAGGGTGAAATTTTCATCAAACTTCAACAAGAAACAAGACTTATTCAACTTTCTCAGCGAGAAATTGGTTGAACTTACCACTGGAGCTTCGTATCAGCTGTTGACCACAAAAGATAATCAGGTGCTAAGCAACAGAACCAGTGACATATCAACCATGTCTCCAAGTCAGCAAGAAGAAGCAGACACCAGAATGATGTTGCACTTGCAACACGCTGCTGAGCAAGGGCATGCCAAAGCGTACCTCATCACAGTGGACACAGACGTGGTTGTTCTGGCCATCTATCACTTCAAACGGTTGAATATGTCAAAGTTATGGATAGGTTTTGGATCGGGAAAGACCTTCCAATCCATAATATTTGTCAACAGCTTGGTCCTGAACGCTCGGAAGCCCTTCTCTTTTTTCATGCGTTTAAGGGGTGTGATATAACATCGTCGATGTTTAGAATAGGTAAAAAGACGGTATGGAATGCATGGGCTGCTTATCCTGAGGTCACTGACACATTCATTAACGTCACAAATAAACCGAATAGTGTCACATTGGAATCACAGCACATGTCTCATCTTGAACGCTTTACAGTTCTGATGTACAGCATAAACTGTGGTGCAGATTCAGTCGATGATGCGAGGAAGTTGATGTTCACCCAAGGCCTAAAGGCCCTTGAATCTATATCTCCATCACAATATGCTTCATTTCAGCCTACAAAGCGAGCGCTGCTCACTACCGCATTCATTTGGAAGACGTGTCTATCCAAATCTCCTGATATTCCTAATGACAGTAAATGGGGTTGGGAATGGAATGACACAACCAAAGAATGGGTTCCCTACTGGACTGATCTTCCGAATGCAAGCCATGGATATTCATTGCTACTCAATTGTGGTTGTTTGGTCTCATGCGCAGGCAGATATAAATGTTATTAAGCCGGGATTCGCTGCAGTCCATTATGCAAGTGTCGAGAAGGTTGCACAAGCAACACATATGATGCATGAAGTACCTAACAAGTATTATATGTTGCAAACCTGTAATTTACGTTCCTGTATATTTTGTAATGTAATTAATGAATAAAATTGAACTGATTCAAAAAGAAAATCTTCATCTTGTATTATATTGTCCAATCTTTCATAACAAAATACTCTATGAACTTGACATTGATTTTGAACACGAATTAGACCATAAAAATGGATTCCTCACATCCTAGGACTCATAAAAACCGGTACTACTCAAGATTTTGAGTCTTATAGAAAAGTATCTATTGAAAATACCAATACAGATGGCGGCCATATTCGATTTATAGCTAATAGGCCACCAGAAGCCGCGCACAAGTTGCTTGTGCCTCAAGACCATACCTAAGGGTATAGCAAATTTGAAAGACTTGGCAGAAAGTGCTCGATTTTTATGAATTCCCCCTATTCTAAGGTGGAAGTTGAAAAAAGTATTTGAGACAACAAAACCCGTTTCCTGACAAAACCCAAACAGTCGGTCACCACGTCACCCATAATAATTGTAATTTCAGACTTCTTAGTCAGATCTAAGGCGCTTTAAGTTGTACGTAAAAGATTTCAACAGCTTCATCTGGCTAATCGCAGTTTGGCGCATATTTCTGGATAATGTTCAGTTTGTATGGTTTTCCAAGCCTTGATTTTGTAGAAATTTTGGAGAATTTGCCCTTATTCGTAGTTGTATTCCGCCTTGATATAAATTTTGTGTTGCAGTTGTCCAGGTGCCAGTCCATTTTCTTCTTTCATCTTCGTCACTGCCTCTATTTTGAACTTTCTCACATCTTTCATGTCGTTTTGTTATCTCCTTGTCTGAAACTTTGAGAAAAGGACGTCAGGAAAATTCAAAACATGACAATGTTTATCTCGAAACTATGTATACTTAAGGTTTGTCAGGAAAAAATTAATCTAGTAATTAACAATAATTTCTTATTCAAATTTAGCCCTGGGAGCAGCTGGATACCTTTACTACACAACTGACAATTCCATAATTAGGACGACTATACAAAAAGTGAGACCTGATGAAAATGGTTCGGCAAATAACATCAATACGATTTTGAATGGAAATCAATTGGAAGGAAGGCTCAATGAAAGTTTCGATCACAAATATTAAGTTAAAATCAATAATAATGTATGTGTTTAGCTAGAATATAATTTAGAATAAGAACCAAAATAATGTTGTTATAATAATGCTTCTAGAGATGTTGCACTTGTGATATTTTAGTTTTCAAAAATATTGTACTTAATTTTATAAATAAAAAAAAATACATATTAACGTTTGTATTTTCATACATCAATCTTTGGATATCGGTAATTAAAAATGTTTGAGAACTTAATTATTTCCTCCATTTTAACCATCAACAAAAATAATGACCGGTAATCTAGAATTCTGGGGGACAAGTAAATACAATGTTTATACTATATTCCAAAGACCAATAAATACTTATAGGATCTAAGGACAAATCTAATTTCCATTATTATTTATTTATTGATGGGGATTTACATTAACCTTTATTGCTGATGATGTTCTTCCCCACCATTTTCTACTTAATGAAAGGTATAATAGTTTTGAGATGGATTGTATTGTTTGCAATCCTCCATGGCAAATCGGTAATGTCTTATTTTTTTCGATATAATATTGTGACTTTCTGTAGTGGTGTATATTAATGGTAAATATTTGATTTACCTTACATGTATGGTGCACGTTTACTTTTCTATATTAAGCACGCAAACACGTTATATTGTGTCAGCAATCGGTAAAAATTAATGTATATCTTTATCGGGTTCCAAAGAGAAGATGTGTTTAGCTATTGTAGTTCTTGAAAAGTAGTGCCTCCAATGAAAAAAATTCACTGCCTTGATGTCCTTAAGGTATATTTGCATGTCAAACGCGTAAGCATTCTTGTATGAATTTTTCAGCAACCTAATAGTCTGAACATTTGACAATTAGTCATGAATAAGTTTTTACCAATTCCGTTAATGCAACTGGAGAAGCGTGGAAATCTTATTTCCGGCCCTTGTAAAACTGAATTTAAATTAAGGAAGTATGAAATTCGAGCTTTTGACAATTTTAGATTTTGATCTTAACAAGAGAAAATTGATTTTTCCCAAAACTGAATTTTAAACAAACAAGGCATGAAATTTATAATCTCAACTGTCCTAGAGCCGAAATTGAACTGGGAAAGTATTAAAGTCTGATTTCTCATCATTTTAGAGTTAAATTTGAGCTGGAGTGTTTCAAAAAGGTGATACCCAGCTGAAATTCTACTAGGTTTAAAAATTCTATTCGCAACGCTTTTGTAGTTTAAATTTGAGTTTCAAAGTAATCCAGAGTTGAAGCTAAAGTTAATTTAACTGCAAGAGCATGAAGATCTTATTATCAGCTCACGTTGAGCCAAATTTAAACTAAAAAAGTTTGAACTTGAGTTTTTGAGAATTTTAGAGCTTAAACTTAAGAGATAATTATTGGTATTTCCAATTTTGGCTGATGCCCCAAAGCTGAATTTTGAACAAAAAAGGCATTGTTGCGCTAGGGTTTCTCTGGGTGTCTTAGAACCACGATATTATCGGTTATATCTTGCTTTTAAAATGGAAACACAACACTAAATACTTTATAAACATTTAAACACTACAAACGAATTGAAATATAGAAAAATAAGAGAAAAATGAAGGAAAATATAAATTGTTAACACTTTCTTCCCGTAGTTAATCAGTAGTTTTTCCCCAGTGAAAAAATTGTCTAAAAAAACACAGCACTAAAACAACAATTACACATCCTAGATTAACAATAATAATCGGTGAGTTTTTGGGGTTGACGTGTGTCTCGTCTGGGGCATTCCGTTTGAGTGTCACTTGGTTCTAATGGGTGATTTGGAATTTTGTTACATTCTCTTCCTCGGGGATCGTCCTCGTCGAGTACGATCCTCGTGCTTTTTATTGCCTGTCGATCGATTAACTCTGGCGGGTCTTTCTTTTTTGCGGATCTCCATCGCAGGTATCGTCTCCGGTCCTTGATAAGGCTGTAAATCACTCACATGGTACAGTTGAAACAACAAAGGTCCAAGAAGGTCAAAAGCTACAATCTCAAACCTTTGAGCCTATGCTGGAGTTTGCAACAACCCAGCTGGTTTCTGAATCGTTGGCTTGTACCTTTGACAGTCAGGAGAGTTTTTAACATATTCAGCTATACCAGGTGGGGCTCGAAAAACTTTCCACCCAGGTTTTCTCAGGTGTTAGGTGTTTAATCAAAAATCGCTCAGACACGTCAATTTTTGTTTTTTGGGGGACACATTTTATTGGTATTTTCACATCCTACTCGTGAATCCCTAAGTGGGGGTAACAGGTACCCCCAAAATTTCAAATGGAAAGAGGGGTCGAGTGATATGTCATTTGGTAGCTATTTTCATTGAGATTATATCCCCGAAGTTTTGAGTTGCTACTATTAACCCTGCCGAAATGGCGGCAAGTCAAAGTTAGGATAAATGCTTTTTTTCGTTATTAATCTAAGCTGTATAGTTTTTACCTGCCACACCTATGCGTAGGAAACAGGTAAACACCACACAGCATTTTTCCATTGATTTTTCTTAACTTTGGCAAGCCGCCATTTCGACAGGGTAAATAGTAGCAACTTGACACTTCGGGGATATAATCTTAATGAAAATAGCTATCAAATGACGTATCACTCGACCCCCCTTTTCATTTGAAATTTTCTGGGTACCTGTCACCCCCACTTAGAGGTTCACAGGTACGGGATGAAAATACCAATAAAATGTGTCCCCCAAAAAACAAAAATTGACGTGTCTGAGCGATTTTTGATTAAACACCTAACACCTGAGAAAACCTGGGTGGAAAGTTTTTCGTGCCCCACCCGGTATATCGTCTCACGCAAGTAGAATAGTACTTTCTTGCAACTCATTGATATGTTCGCTCGATTGTATGATGGGCTGCAATGATATTCGTACATGATTCTCTCTCTAGCTGCCCAGGAATATTTATACAACACACCATTCATTAGGATAAAACCGCGCTCTGTCCACTGAGCTATACTGTTATCTTCATTGTTCTCAATAACAAGTTCGGGATCGTTCATCTGTTCTGTACGTAACTCATAAACAGTTCGGGCTGGCATATCTATCTATTAAATCTTCATGGTTATAGGGTGGCCGGGATGCGTATAGCCACTTCCTACCATTGTGCAACGCACGCACCTGAAGTGTCGCGTTGTAACGTGGTAGGCACCGGCAATGTTAAACGCTCATTAGCGCAGAACAAAACCTACTCCGATGCAACTGGAGCGTGGTATACAATGTCTAGTAGTCACGCGTGAATTTGAGGGACAAATTCTACCACGACACAGCGCTTTCGTGCAAGCGCGCCCTCACATGTGTCGTCAGCTCACAGCAGTTCAATCAGCTGTTTGTTTTTTTGTTATCTTGCTTAAACAAGTTACGCATATTAGGTATTTGTAACCCTAAATAAAAGTAGTGTGTAAGAGTTAGTCAATGAAAATGGAATATAAGGAGCTGTTACGTACTTTAAGTTGTTGTGAAGACATTGAAATTTTAAAGTTAACACCAAGTCCCGAAAACAGTGAATTTTTTGTGCTACTTTACAATGTAGTATTGCGGGCGAAATATCAAAATTGTCATGTCAGCAATGGATGGCAACATTTAGTGAAGCGACCCATACAAACTGGATAATTCGCCGTACCTACCCAAATCCACAGGCACAGAAGCACGATTATCGCGTTACATATAATTGTCAACACAGCAGTTTTAATAAACTAAAAAATGAAAAAGGAACTTTACGCGATCGTGATAAATCATGTGGCGCTACCGTAAATATCCTCGTGAAGAAAATTATTCAGAACACAATAAGAAATGATCCTTTACTGAAGAGGGGACTCAATATTGTTATTACGGTAATTTTTTATGATGTGCCTTTTTATTTGCGAAATCAAAAAACTTGAATAATCAATTATTAATCAAGATTAATTTTGAACACACACATAATATTAAAGTAGCTGAAGCTTTCAGCTACTTGAGGATGGATAAAAGTACAGAAGACAGGTATTTTTGAAATACTTTGAAGATGAAATGACCGCTAGTGCGGCCCGAATATTCCATGAAATGAACCTTCTGGAATCAGTAAAAGCAACGGTATTACTATAAATAAAGTCAGGGAAAAATAAAAACAATTTTGCAAAATTTCGGTTTTTTCCGGATATCTGCGGAAGTATTCGGAAAATCCTAAATATCAAAGCGTCATTTTGTTGAGCATCAAATTACGCAACTTTTCCTTAATTTAGCCAATCTTGTATTTCTCACCGTTTCTGAGATCCCAATGATGTGGCTCGAATTTGGAACACCCTGTACATGTATGACACATAGTTACATTGCGAATTGAATTTCCTTTCAAAATATGAAATAAAAATTCAAGTCCGTATTTAAAAAATTGAAGCTGATGATAGTATCTTAAAGACGAAACGTCGAATTTAATACATATTACAAAACACCATCTTGTAGAGCAAAAAAAATAATTAAACTTTCAAATTTAAAGAATGTTTCTAAAATTAATACCTAGTTCTCGAAATATTCGACAAAATAATTTCAGGTGTTTTTTACAACTGTGTCACGACAACTAATAGAAATTTGTCAAGAACGAAAATATATTTTCAATAACCTTCAAAAATGGAAACTTTTTCTAATATAATCGCCCTCGTATCTCTTACCGTTTCATCCATTTCTGATATTATGCCATGGTATTTTAGACACCCTGTATACCTACTATACATATTATGTAATATGTATGTGATTGAAATCAACATTATTTTTATTTTCATTTTTGTATTATGTTCATTTAATGAATAAATAAATACTATCACAATATCTATTTTTTATTCCAGTGCTGCGCTGTATCGTGGTAGAATTTGTCCTCAAATTTACGTCATGACTACTAGACATTGTATACCATGCTCCAGCGAAAAACGTTGGATCGTGGTAGGTTTTGTTCTGCGCTAATGAGCTTTTAACTATGCTGGTGCCTAACACGATACAACGCGACACTTCAAAGGAGTGCGTTGCACAATGGTAGGAAGTAGCTATACGCGGCCGGGATAGAAGATCCGCAATTACATTTTTCTTCCCCAAAATATATTCAACCTTTAGATCATAATTCTGTAGTTTCCAGGCCCACCGAGCAAGACGTCTTGTTACTTGAGTCTTGAGTGTTAAAACCATGGTTTGGTAGTCAGTGGAAAGGATTACCTTAGACCCTTCTACGTATCCTTTAAATTTGTCTAAAGCCCATACTGCAGCTAAAGCTTCTCGTTCAGTTGTAGTATAATTTCGCTCAGCTGGCAGTAACAACCTCGACGCATAATCCACAAAATGTTCTTCTGGTCCTTCTCCTTGAAGCAATATGGCCCCAATTCTAATTGCATAAGAACTGGCCTCCGTTCTAATAATAAATGACCTAATTTCGTGCATCTGTTGCAATATATATTGGTGCACTAAGTATGACAATGTGTTGCTTCAAGTTGTCAAATGCTTGGCGTTGTTGGTCTCCCCAGTGAAAAATCATATTATTTTTAATCAACTGACTTAAAGGGCGTTTGATTTCGGAGAAGTTCTTTATAAACCTGCGGAACGAAACGATTGTACCTCTTTCAAGTACCGAGGGGCAGGCAGATTGGCAATGGCACCAGTTTTCTCAGGATTAACTAATATACCATTGGGTGTTATTAAATGTCCCAGATATCGAACACTCGGATGAACAAACACACATTTTGCCTGATTTGCGCGCAACTTGAACTGTCGAACCCTGTTGAAAACTTTCTGAAGATCACTAAGGTGCGTCTCAAAGTCAGAGGACAAGACGATCATATCATCCAGGTAAGCCAAAATCGAAACGTCTGTGAGACTACGGCGAAAAACATCCATTAAACGCTGGAAAGTGGCCGGAGCGTTTTTCAATCCGAATGGCATACGTAAATAGCGGCACGTTCCAAATGGAGTGGTGAAAGCCGTCTTATCGCGGTCACACTCGCGGACACTAATCTGGTGATAACCAGATCGTAAGTCTATGGTAATTATGAAAGCGGTATGTTTTGCAGCATGTAGTAGATTATCCATTGGCGGTAGAGGGTATGAATCAGTAACGCTGACGGCGTTGAGCTTTTGATAGTTGACAGAGTGTCCCACTTTCCCATCCTTTTTAGGTACTAAGACAAAGAGAAATGCCCATGGACTTTCTGTCTCTTCTATAATATTTTCCTTGACAAGCTTGTCTAATTCAGTGTGTAACTGTTCCTATCGAGTAGGTGACATTCTCTACGGAGGCACTGAAATAGGATATTTTGGGTCTAGGGGGAGATGCCACACCTTATGCCGAGCATTGCATCAACCTGACCGATGACGTGGTCAGGTTGATGCAATGCTCGGCATAAGGTGTGGCATCTCCCCCTAGACCCAAAATATCCTCGTTTTGATCCAAAGAGGCTTGTAATCTTTCACGCTGTTCAGAAGCTAGCATATGTCCTTCTTCTTTACGCAATAGTTCAAAGCTTATTGATATTGTTACTTGATTGGTGAACAGAAGGTCTTCAAAACACAACTGATGCACCGTTTGCCTGGTCATTTGCATCACCTATTTCATCGTTAAAATACCAAGTGGCGCAAGGAATATTCAAATTTATATTGGCATCTTTTATAAAATCCACTCCTAGCAGGGTTTGATTTACCGCATCTGGCAAAATAATAAAAGTTGTGGGTACACAATGTCCATTTAAATAAACATCGACATTGGCCAACTCTACATCTCTGTCAACAACAGTTCCATCTGCTAGTTTATAAGTTAAATGTTTAGTTTCAAACTTCTTGCCAAAGTCTAGCAAGATCCTATGCAATGTGTGACCAGTAATGCTTTGTTTGGCGGCTGAGTCCACAATTCCTGTTCCTATGTGACCCGAAATTCCTATTTTTAATATAGAACGTGCACGTGGAGGAAGGTTTAATCGGTTAGTAGTCTTTACAACATAATCTTTTGGTTTAATATCTGCACTAGAAAAATCAATGGCCGATGAACTTCTACATTTTGGACAATTAGAACGAATAAAACCAGGATTGCCACAACCGCATGCTACACTCGAAGAAGTCTGAGCGCTGACGCGAATAGGTTGTGTAGTTATCATAATCGTGTAACGACGTTACGTAATTTTTCTTTTGTTTTAAAAGGTACCGCGAGTTCAAATGCATATTTCAATAATATTATTTTCAATCCTCAAATAAATTATTAATTTTACGCGTGACCTCGAATTGAGTGTACGATTTCCTGCCGCCGCCAGCAGACGCATCGCTTGCTTGGGGAAGCGCTGTGGTCTTTTGGTCATGCTCGGTTCCCCACTGCCTTAACATGTGACGCCGGCCGCCGCTCACCCATATTTAAGGCGGCGAGCTCTGCAAAACTGGGAGTCCGCCGACAGCAGCCAGCCAGCTTCAAGACTAGAACACCGCACCGACCAGCCGAAGCCAACACCGAGGTAAGCCAGTGGGATCGCCCAGTAACAGTTCCCAGAGAGCCGCGAGCCGCGTTTCAGGTTGGGTAAGGATGTGGTAAGAGATAGTTTTATACTTGCTCCTTTTTCTTCACCCCTGGTTGATGTCCGGGTAACCGTCTTTCTCCACTCTTGGGTGTTTTCCGGGTGGCCTGTCTTTCATGCATTCTTGGTTGATGGCCGAATGCATTCTTTTTCTTCACCCTTGGTTGATGCCCGGGTGCCTGTCTTTCTCCGCTCTTGGTTGATTACCGGGTGGTCTGTCTTTCTTGCATTCTTGGTTGATGGCCGAATGCATTCTTTTCTTCACCCTTGGTTGATGACCGGGTGATTGTTTTTCCTTCACTCTTGGTTGATGCCCGAGTGATTTTCCGATTGGGAGCTTGTATAAAATACCTTCCGTGGTCATTATTTATTAAAGGTTAAAGGGACTGTTACTTTGGTGTTTTCCGCGCTTGACAAAACCGACGGAGCTTTTTGCCTGCCTCATTATTTTAACCGTCACCGCTACATTTTTAGTATTCCGCTGTTAACATCATTGCTTACCATTTATATCCGCTTACCTCACCGGTTTTCTCACATATTCGCACGCACCGATCGTACTCACTCTCTCACTCTCGCTCGCATTATTGATTGCTATATTTTGGGTTGGGTTATTAATAATATTTTAGTCTGTTTTATTATGTTAATACAATTTGTGCTATTCCGCATTTGGTGTTTAATTTTAACACGGAGTTTTGAAGGGAATTTTCAGGGTTTTATTTTGAGACGTAGTCAGGTTGAGCAATAACGTCTGATGTGACCCCTGGGTTACCGTTTCTCCACTGTAACAAGCTACCTGGTGCACGTGGGCCCTCAACCACATTAATCCTGAGGGTGGCGCCCGAGATAACCGTAGGATAAGAAACCGATTACCGAACTACTTCGCTTCCGTATAAAAAGCGCCTTTACAAATTTGGCGCCCGAGCAGGGACATTACGCAATTTAGTGACGTCAGCATAAGACCGAGGAGATTTCGTCATCATCAGTCCTCCATTCCTTCGAGAGGCCGTTTGCTTTGGCAACCACCGTAGGTCTGTCCGTTACCGTACCGTTTTGATGTGATTGTCAGACCGCCAATCGCCGGAGCGAATGAACCGCTCCTACTGGACTATTCCGCGCATGCCTTATCTTCCGCCTCATAAATTGGAGGTCTTAACCAATGCCGTCCGTGGTCCGTCCGAGGAAGACAGTTACGTCAGTTCCTGTTGTATTTCGCATCGCATTGGACCGAAGTTCTCTGTTTTGGGAGGTATTGGTAAGCGCATTCGTAAACAATTTTTGTTTGGAAACTTCGCACATTTTCGAGTAAACCGAGGTCGCTGATGTCATTTGTTTAATTTTTTTTTCTATCTCTGAAAATTTCCCCGTTGATGTAGTTTGTCAGAAACCGACCGCTCCGCTGCCAGTTCAAACTTCAGAAAGCGTTAAAGCTCCACACCAGACCCTCTTTCGCTCCATCCGTTCTGCGCATGCGCATATTCTTTGTCGTATCGACCAGGATAATTATTGTATCTTCTAAGAGTTGCAATATTTCTTAATCAGTCCGAAGATTAAGAGACCGAATGGTGGACGAGGAGAGGGAGAGTGTGCGCATCAGCCGCTTTTTAAGTGGGATCCCAAAAATCGTTCCCCACTTGCTCAAAAGAGTATAAAATAAGGCGCTCGCACTAAATTAAGAGAGAACCGGCCGAGCCCTCGAAGAAACAACATCTAGTAAATCGTTCCGAGAGAACCGACCGAGCTCTCGAAGAAGCAACATCTTGGAGAGAACCGACCGAGCTTTCGAAGAAGCAACATCTAGAAGAGAACCGACCGAGAGCTCCAAGAAGCAACATCTAGTAAACCGTTCCGAGAGAAAGAGACCGCTTAACCGAACCGACTAGAACTCTACCGCCATAGTTCCGACCGAGCCTCCAGCCCGAGAACACTCAATCCGCAGAGTATTAGGCTGAAACCAAAGTGATTTGACAGTTGACGTCACTTCACTTCCAACCGTACTACCGAGTGTAAGCCGTGAACCTATTGTTAGGAAACCGCTGGAAGCCGTTGCCGATTAACGTCACCTGTATTCCGCTACCGGTAAATAAGTGTGCACCCGAGTTACAATGACCGGAGGCACCGGCAACAATGGAAACCCACCGGTTACTAGTACACCGAGTACCACCACCGCTACCGTGGTCACTACCAGTCCGGTGAATCCGCCAGTTAGTCTATCCGTAACCGCTTACCCCGCCTGGTACGATCCCAACGATGGCCGTGTAGGTTTTGTCTACCTATTAAAGAAGGATGAACTGATTGCGGAACTAAATAAGTTTGGATTAGATACTACGGGTACCGTTGACACGTTGAAGAAGCGACTAGTGACGTTTTATCGTCAGGGAAAGGCTTCACCAGCACCGACTACTATGACAGGTTTCATCTTTCCGACTAATTCCAGCACGCATACGACTCAGGCAAATAGTACCGCTGCCCTGACTCAAACCAGTACTGCTAATATTGGTGCACCCGGAACAACTCAGGTGCTTAATCCGCCGATACCGGCTATAACCATTCACCAACCGTTGCCTTCTACAGTCGCATCCGGGTCTCCGGGAATGGCACTGAAAGTACATAAATGGAATATCCATTTTAATGGACGAACCGATCCGGTAACTTTCATAGAGAGATTACAGGAAATTTGTGCCTCCCAGGGGATATTGATAGACCGATTACTGCCGCATATTCCTGAACTTTTACAGGGTGACGCATCCCTATGGTACCGAAATAACCGAGCTCACTGGAATACCTGGGACGAATTTCTGACGGATTTTCGTAGCTTTTATTTTCCGATCAATTATGCTGCCGACCTGGCGATTGAAATTAGCCGCCGGCTCCAACAGCCGAACGAGCCAACCCACCGATATATTACCGACCTACAAACCCTCATCAGGAGGCATGGAAGCATAACTCCAGATCAGGAGCTTCAGTGGTTGTATAGAAACCTTTTACCTGAATACAGACAACATATTCGGAAGAGCGACATTACCGATGTGGTTTCATTTTCCCGCACCTTAAGGGAAATCGAAAGCCTATTGTCCGAACTGAAGGCATCCCCGTCGACATCTAGAAATGCACACCGTCCACCGGCCGGCATTTCTGTTACCCAAAACCCGTCTACAAACCCCGCACCAACGAGAGGCTGGCAGCAAAACCGTAGAACCGAACGGCCTAATAGAACCGAATCGAACCAACGGAATTCTAGACCAAACAATCGGTCCGAAGCAATGATTTGCTGGAAATGTGGAGAAACTGGACACTTCAGAACCGATTGCCGGGGTAATGCAAAATTATTCTGCTCCCGTTGCAGAAAACCGGGTATAATGTCCCGAGACTGCCCATGCGACCGTTCCCGTTCGGGAAACTAAAAAGGTGCTCTCCTAGTCCGAGGTCAGCCCAGCACCGTAAACCGATAACCTCGAATAGACGCCCCTATTTTCCGACAGGGGCGAACCCGATTCGTCTACCGGATTCCCGACCACATGTATGCATTTACATCGAAGAGGCCCCGTTCTTAGCTTTAATTGATACCGGAGCCACCAACTCGTATATAGGAGACCTCGCTGCAGACATATGCCGGCTCAGTGATTATCCCGAAGTACAACCTGAGGTCCGAAGCGCCAAAGTGGCCAATGGGGGTGTAATCGAAATTTCGAAAGCTTACCGAATACCGTTGCAGCTTGGAAACATTACACTGACCGAAACCATCAGCCACTTTCCGAATTTGACGTCCGACATTGTGCTTGGGATGGATATTCTGAGTCGACACAAATTCCATCTGGATTTGGGCAGTGGCGAGATTTATTTAAACAACTGTCTCCTACCGCTTCCTACTTTATGTAGTCCTATTGGTCCGATAGATGTCCCATCGAACCTGGAATTAACATCCACCGAAGAGGTACGATTGCAGAAATTTCTGGACCACGAGCTGCCGAAGTTTGACCAAATCAAAGGCACTACCCCTTTAGTAGAACATACCATTCATCTACTGAATCCCGAACCGATAAAACAACGCTACCGTCCACAAAATCCCCGGATGCAAGAAGTAGTCAACACCGAAGTTAAGAAAATGCTGGACGATGGAATCATCGAACCGTCCGGTAGCCCGTGGAGTTCCCCAGTGGTTATTGTCCGAAAGAAGGATGGCAAGTACCGGTTTTGCATTGACTTTCAGAAAGTCAATGCCATATCCCGAAAGGATGCATACCCTTTGCCATTCATCAATGCCATTCTGGATAAACTCCGCCGCGCCCGATACATTTCCAGCATTGACCTTAAACAAGGGTACTGGCAAATACCCCTTGCTAAAGATAGCAAACCGATTACCGCTTTCACCGTACCAGGAATGGGTCTATACCAGTTTCGAGTAATGCCTTTTGGGTTACACTCCGCTCCCGCTACATTCCAGAGATTAATGGACAGCATTATAGGCCCAGAACTAGATAGTTATTGCTTTGCATATCTGGATGACATTATAATCCTTGGCGAAACTTTTGAGGAACACCTGAACAATTTAGCCGAAGTATTCCGACGTCTGAGAGCGGCAAATTTACGACTTAATCCGGACAAATGTGAATTTGGAAAACGTTCTCTCCGCTATCTGGGACACCTTGTTACTTCCGAAGGCATCCGAACCGATCCAGACAAAGTAGCGGCAATCCAAGAACTGCCAGCTCCTACTAATATCCGTGGCTTACGACGCTTTTTGGGAGTAGCTTCGTGGTACCGCCGATTCGTACAGAATTTTTCCCAATTAGCTAGTCCACTCAACCGCCTACTTAAAAAGGGCATCCGATGGACTTGGACCGATGTTGAACAAACAGCTTTTGATACTCTTAAAGCTCACCTCACCGAAGCCCCAATATTGGCTTGTCCCGATTTTTCGAAGCCATTCGTGTTGCAAACAGATGCATCCGATAATGGGTTAGGTGCGGCATTAATTCAACATAGTACTGTACATAGTGACTGGCGGTGTCATGTTGGGGATAAAGTTATGCGAAAGGAGAATCCGCTCTCCTCCGCCGCAAAGGGTTTTGCCGCCAAATTAGCTCCGAAGTATTCCGGACCCTATACCGTTATTAAAGTCGTTTCTCCGGTGGTGTACGATATAAAGAGTTCCTCTGGGAAAAACCTCCGGCATATCCATATAAAGGATCTTAAACCGGCCTTGCCGGAATCCTAAATTTTATAATTTTCTGTTTCAGCAATTGCAATGCCGAAACCACACCGACCAGTAGATGCACCTCCCCGTGGTCAAAAGCCTCCGTCGGATCTTTTTAACTTGAAGGCTGACGCAAAATTAACTAGGAAGAAGCAAAATCACCGGATCGCCGAAGCCAAGAAAACCGCCGCAACGCTTGCACCGGAAAACCTGTCTCGTTCTGTTCAAGATGTGGCCGAGTGGGTACGTTGTCCCGGAACTGCCCCTGCAGGCGAACTGCCGAATCCACCCTACGAGACCCGAAGCGTCTGCTTGCCGGATCCCGCCCATCCCGTCAAGGTTATTTCGTGTCCGTGGGCACTCAATGCTGCAGACACCCTGTCAAATACAGGCCGTGCTCACACTGTGGCTGTCCATACGGTCGAAGGAGCCATGAGTGATATGCACCACCGTTACTTTGTTCGACAAGCTGGAGAGGTACCAGGGGGAGCCTGAGGGATCCTCCAGCCTACGTAGACCTCGACGCAGCGCAGCCCTCGCCAGTAGGGGCCTCATCTCGACGTAAGACGGGAATTTGGTTTTGAGATTATTATCCTAATTTAATTTTTATTCTCTTGTATTTAATTTTTTTTGTTGTGTCTTAGGGAACCATATAGGATGCAGATATTGTTTTTTTCTCATAGAGACAATACTTATTGTTATTCGAGTTTCAGGGGACCGTTTAGGCTAAAAATTACTGGGTAATTTATAGAAAATATTTATAGGATAAATATTTTTACCGAAGAGGAGGGGGTGTGTAACGACGTTACGTAATTTTTCTTTTGTTTTAAAAGGTACCGCGAGTTCAAATGCATATTTCAATAATATTATTTTCAATCCTCAAATAAATTATTAATTTTACGCGTGACCTCGAATTGAGTGTACGATTTCCTGCCGCCGCCAGCAGACGCATCGCTTGCTTGGGGAAGCGCTGTGGTCTTTTGGTCATGCTCGGTTCCCCACTGCCTTAACATGTGACGCCGGCCGCCGCTCACCCATATTTAAGGCGGCGAGCTCTGCAAAACTGGGAGTCCGCCGACAGCAGCCAGCCAGCTTCAAGACTAGAACACCGCACCGACCAGCCGAAGCCAACACCGAGGTAAGCCAGTGGGATCGCCCAGTAACAGTTCCCAGAGAGCCGCGAGCCGCGTTTCAGGTTGGGTAAGGATGTGGTAAGAGATAGTTTTATACTTGCTCCTTTTTCTTCACCCCTGGTTGATGTCCGGGTAACCGTCTTTCTCCACTCTTGGGTGTTTTCCGGGTGGCCTGTCTTTCATGCATTCTTGGTTGATGGCCGAATGCATTCTTTTTCTTCACCCTTGGTTGATGCCCGGGTGCCTGTCTTTCTCCGCTCTTGGTTGATTACCGGGTGGTCTGTCTTTCTTGCATTCTTGGTTGATGGCCGAATGCATTCTTTTCTTCACCCTTGGTTGATGACCGGGTGATTGTTTTTCCTTCACTCTTGGTTGATGCCCGAGTGATTTTCCGATTGGGAGCTTGTATAAAATACCTTCCGTGGTCATTATTTATTAAAGGTTAAAGGGACTGTTACTTTGGTGTTTTCCGCGCTTGACAAAACCGACGGAGCTTTTTGCCTGCCTCATTATTTTAACCGTCACCGCTACATTTTTAGTATTCCGCTGTTAACATCATTGCTTACCATTTATATCCGCTTACCTCACCGGTTTTCTCACATATTCGCACGCACCGATCGTACTCACTCTCTCACTCTCGCTCGCATTATTGATTGCTATATTTTGGGTTGGGTTATTAATAATATTTTAGTCTGTTTTATTATGTTAATACAATTTGTGCTATTCCGCATTTGGTGTTTAATTTTAACACGGAGTTTTGAAGGGAATTTTCAGGGTTTTATTTTGAGACGTAGTCAGGTTGAGCAATAACGTCTGATGTGACCCCTGGGTTACCGTTTCTCCACTGTAACAAGCTACCTGGTGCACGTGGGCCCTCAACCACATTAATCCTGAGGGTGGCGCCCGAGATAACCGTAGGATAAGAAACCGATTACCGAACTACTTCGCTTCCGTATAAAAAGCGCCTTTACAATCGAACCCGTTTATTCCGGATTTTGACCCGTGTCAACTAATGAACCGCCACTGACCAAAGATTAATTTTTCGCAGCCAGTTTACGACACTGATTTTTGGTACCTATAACCGATATTTTCGCAAAAACGCAACGTAACAGAAGACATTGTTTCTTTGGATTCAGAATCTGTTTTTGATTTTGGCATCTTTTTTCAGTCAACTCGCACGCAACCCCAAGGGCAAGCAATGCTATAACCTGCAAATCCTTCGTAAAGTTCCAAAATTCTTGCACTAATCTGCCTAATCCAAAGAAACAAGAAACCAACAAAATATTTCGGTACAAGTATCAACTACAACTTCAAAGTTCAACCCAACTAAAATAATTATTCTGTTTGAACACAACAGAAGTTCACAAAGCAAGAAAATGCGTGAAAATGTCCTGCACAAAATACAAATTCACCGACAATTCTTCGAAGCCCCCCGTTGGGCGCCAATGTTCCGCTGGGGTTTCTCTGGGTGTCTTAGAACCACGATATTATCGGTCATATCTTGGTTTTAAAACGGAAACACAACACTAAAGACTTCATAAACATTTAAACCATACAAACGAATGAAAATATAAAAAAATAAGAGAGAAATTAAAGAAAATGAGTGTCCTAGAGCCGAAATTGAACTAGAGAAAATCTCATTATTTTAGTATTAAAGTTGAGCTGGAGTGATTCAAAAAGATGATACCCAGCTAAAATTTTACTAGAGAAGTTCAAAAATTCCATTCGCAACGTTTTTGTAGCTAAAATTTGAGTTTCAAAGTAATCCAGAGTTGAAGCTGATTTAACTGCAGACGCATGAAGATCTTATTCTCAGCTCTCGTTAAGCCAAATTTGAACTAGAAAACTATGAGCTCGAGTTTTTGACAATTTTAGAGCTTGAAATTAACAAGAGATAATTGCTAATTCCAATTTTAGCTGCCCTAAAGCTGAATTTTGAACAGAGACGGCATGCAATTTCTAATCTCAAGTGTCCTAGAGCCTGAATTAGACTAGATAAATATAAACGTCCGATTTCTCATCATTTTAGAGTTAAAGTTAAGCTGGAATTATTCAAAAAGCAGATACTCATCTGAAATTCTACTAGGGAAGTTTGAAAATTTTATTCGCAACGCTTTTATCCAGAGGTGAAGCTGAGCTTAATTTAACTGCAGAAGAATGAAGATATTATTCTCAGCTCTCATTAAGCCAAATTTGAACTAGAAAACTATGAACTCGAGCTCTTAACAACTTGAGATCATAAAATTAACAAGAGAGAATTGATAATTTCAATTTTAGCTGCCCTGAAGCTAAATTTTGAACAAAAAAAGCATGCAACGCTCTAAAGAAATTAAATTTGAATTTCTGATCCATCTAGAGTTGAATGGAAAAATAATATGATAAAAGGAGAAAATTGCACAATAATTTTCGATGTAAGTGTATTTTCACGTGACTTTTCTTGTTATCCAACGCCCATTCAATATCTAATATAGTTATTATATGGTATTTCGTTATCTGTAAATCAATGATGAGTGTGTTCTAGCATTTTACCATCAATATAAATATTGTATTGTATTCAATAGGGAACTTTATTTTTTATACAAGCCTATAAACGATTTATAATGATCACATTAAGCATGCACGACCCATTATTATTTCAACAAAATAATATATTTTTAGAGTTTCATTGTCTGGTTGAAATCTCTTGATGGCGACGAGCGTTTCCTGTTACACGAATTCCATTCATTCAAATATGTTTTTTTAGAAATAATTATAATGAAGACTCCGGAAAAACTCATATACGCTTCCTTAGTGATACTTCTAGTTTCAATCCTATTGAAAGTTTGGCTGTTTGGTTCTGTTGTTAGATATGGAATCAAAGATGTGAGTAAGATTATTTTTTGAGTCACAAAATATTGATTGTTTTTATAGCAAACCGCTCTAAAAAAACGCAATGAGGTCCGACAAATTTACTTAAAAATCCCATTTCCGTTGGACTTTAAAATATACCTTTTTAATGTGACAAATCCGGAAGCGGTACAAAATGGTGCCAAGCCTATTTTAAAAGAAATCGGACCTTACTGGTACGAGTAAGTAGTATTTTGTTTGTCATAGAAAATATCTGAAAATCTGATATTATTATTTTGTACCTAGTGAATTTAAAGAAAAAATTGACGTAGTAGATAATGACACCGAAGACAGTCTCACTTATACTCCCTACGATATTTACAAGTTCAATCAAACCAAATCTGGTGACCTCAAGGAAGACGACTACGTTACAATTATTCATCCTGTTCTAGTGGTAAGAAATAGGAAAATGGTTATTGAGTGAGTGATGCGGGTTTTTTTCTAGGGAATGGTGAGCAGAGTGTTGAGAGACTCTCCAGTATTCTTGTCCATAGTCAACCAATCTCTCGCATACATTTTCAATAACCCCAAATCGATTTTTCTCACAGGCAAAGTCAAAGACATCCTATTCGATGGTATAGAATTAAATTGTACGAGCAAAGAATTTCCACCTACGGCCATATGCTCACAAATGAAAACACAAGTGCCCGGAATAAAATTTAAAAAGGGAAACGACAACGTTTTTTTGTTTTCTTTGCTGGGACCTGTAAGATAATAAAATCTTATAAATATTGTATTAGATTTTGTAAATTTTTGAAGAGAAACGGCACGATTCCCAAAAGAATGAAAATTCAGCGAGGCATCAAACATTATCAAGATTTGGGCAGACTGATTGAAGTTGATGGCCAGCGTGAAATCGATCTCTGGAGTTCGGATGAGTGCAACAGATTTGAGGGTACTGACGGTTGGATATTTCCACCATTAGCCGAACCGGAAGAGGGGCTTAAGTCTTATTCGACTGATTTATGCAGGTTTGAATCATTTTTTAACCAGCATTAGTTACATGTCAAGTTTATGTAAATACCTACTATGGGAAATCCATTTTCCAATATTTCAAAGAGTCATATTTCGAAAATGAGAAAAGCTAACGGCACAAAATTTGGTCTTATTGTTGATCTTGATTGGGGCTTCAAAAAATGTTATTTGGGGCACCTAGCCTTAGGGCTTCGTTTTGGACATAATCCAGGTTTGTGGATTTTCCAAAATTTGAGAAAATGTTTCAACTTTGTGGCTCAACATCTCGGAAACTATTTGAGATAAATTATTCAATTCTATTTTATCTTAAAGAGTGTTTAGTTTTTTTACATAATACGGTTTACATCAATGTGACATAAATTTTACATCTACTTAAGCATGGCATTTTGCGTTACATTTAAGTTAAATTTTACCTTAATGTGACTTGAATTTTTTTTATAATAATTAGGTACACTAGTTACGTAAATCTCTACCTTAACTTTTTATGTATGTTTACTAGGTAAGTATAAATTATTTTATCGAATTTCCAGAAATATAAAACTCAACTACGTAAAAGATACAGTATACAAAAAAGTCAATGTCCGTTTGTACGAAACGGATTTGGGCGATCAAACCAACGACGAGAAAGAGAAGTGCTATTGTCGTAACGAAGATTCGTGCTTGAAAAAGGGCCTGTTCGATCTGACTAAGTGCATGGGAGTTCCGATTTATGCCACGTTACCTCACTTTTTACATACGGATAAAATTTATATGGAACAAGTCGATGGATTGGAACCGAACGAAACGAAGCACTCTTTAAGAGTTTATTTTGAATCGGTAAGTGAATAACTACACCAGAATTGATAGGTAATTTTTGGTATAATTTCAGATGACTGCTACTCCAATTTTAGCAGCCAAAAGGATGCAGTTGAATTTCGATTTACAACCGACTGAAAAAATTAAACTGTTCTCAAACTTACCCAATGCCTTGTTCCCAATTTTTTGGTTAGAAGAGGCAAGTTTTGATTTGCCAGGGTACAAGTACTAATTATTTGTTTCCAGAGTGTGAATTTAGAAGGAGAGCTTCTCGAAAAAATTCGAACCCTTTTCCTGGTGCTCTTCGTAGTAGAACTCATGCTGTACTTATCCATGGCAGTGGCTTTAGCTTTGATAGGAGTTGGTGTATATTTTCATCGTAAAAATAGGAAAGCGGTTGCAATTACACCGATACCGAAAGGCAAACAAGTTAACGTGTACGATAACGAGCAAAGCGATATAAAAACTTTGACCAGAAGAGGTGCGATCGATGCGAAATTTGGAATTGATAATCACGCAATGAGCGGACACGAATTTGATAGATATATGTAATTTTTTTTTTTTTAGAAAAATAATTATTTGTACAATCAATTTCTGAATAAACAATGGGATGATAGAGGTTTATTTGGCTTTTATTGCATGATCGTACGTCAAGCCAGAAATGAATTACATATTTAGTTCTAAGTCATATTATGAACCTCTCAACACCCATCTTTTGAAGCCATTTCTGAGTTTTGGAACTTTTAAATCAACAGCTTCAGAATCTTTGTACATGAGCTTTGGGACGTCCAAAGTCATTAAGAAGCTTGAAACCAAAGTTTCTGTTTTTAAACTGTTAATATTTTGGGAGACTTGAAATGCTTAGGTCTCAAAATCTAGAAGTCAAGAGTCTTAAATCAGCAGTCTTCATACCTAACAGTGTTTATTGTAGAATCCTCGATAGTCTTATTTAGAGCCTCTAAGTTTTCATTTCTGTCATGAAATTTCGAGAACCTTTGAGAAATGGAGCATTTAAAGCCTGAAGTTTTTAAAATTTTCCGATTTTGGAATTGAGTTAGTTAAGGAAGAAAGTTCATAAGGTCGACTTGATTAACAGGAACAGTTGGGTGACTGAGCCATATGCCAGTTTTTGGCTTATTATTGAAATTTGAATTTCCCGCGCATCAAAATTCATTACAAGTGTTAGCTATTTTGTCCGGCCGGATTAGTTGAGTGCGACAAAATCGAAATTTGTTACTTTTACAAAGTGAATCATTGGGCATGTTTAACCGTAAGAAAATAATATTGTCAAGGTAGGCCGGGTTTGTTTTGAGGTTAGAATTTCAATAAGAGAAATACAGTTGGGGTTCCAGTTGCCCTGGTAAAAATACCTACAGAGGCAACTGGAACGTATATCATGTGGGCAACTGGAAAATATGTCCAGTTATCTGAAATTAACATAGTATTGTGCATTCTCGTTTGTTCTAGAGCAAATATGGTCAGGAATTATATCCGTAAAACCTCCAAAGGTGCGGACGGTGGAAGATACATACTCAGGATGCCCTGAAAAAAGCAAGTGAAGATGTTCAAAAAGGTAACAGAACAATGTACGGTTCTGCCGTTTTCGATGACATACCAAGATCCGCAATAAGACATTTTATATTTGGAACAAGAGGGAAAGGAATATTGTCAGTAGCAGGAAAAGGTGGTGGAGGAATCAGCACTGTCCAATGAAGTTGAAGAATAACTGTCAACTGTGCTGAACACCATGCAGAAATGGGGATATGGATTATCAAAGGAGGAGGTGCTTTAGTGTTTTAGTGTGCTGCTCAGCTTCGGGCCAAAAATTACCACTTCTTACTATCATAAGAAGAATATCTTCAAGGGCAAAAGCATAATTGAATCTATGATTCCAAAAAAAGCATATCCTTCAGTTTAGACAAAACTGCTGTTGCTGTTGCTGTTGCTGCCTGCGACCGAGGTTGGATAACAGCTAAGACAGTTTCGGGTTGGTTTAGAAAGTGCTTTCTTCCCAACATTTCACCACCTTTCTTCCCAACGTTCCACTACCTTTCTTCCCAACGTTCCACTTATATCCTGCGAGTTAATTAGAGGAGCTATGGATATTGATATAGTTATTTTGAAATTACACCCCCCTCCACTCAACTCACATCTTGCAACCTTTAGATGTGGGGGTATTTAGAGGAATGAGGGCGCAATGGGACAAAACCCTCTGCAAGTGGCAATGACAGAACCCCTGGAAAAAAAATCCAAAACCAGAGTTTCTTAGGATTCTTGGAGAAGAGTTTGCAAAAATGCCTGATGAAAATATAATAAAAGATTTCAAAGCTACTGGCACACATAACAATGAATTAGGGGGCCCAGATCGGAAACAAATTTCGGCTGAGATTTTTTTACATTCTGATTTGGTAAAATATCAGAACAGGGACAAAAAGTCTGCCCCAAAGGATAAAGATAACGTAACTGATCTTGGTATTGCTACAGCAAGAGCAGGTCCTACGCCCATTTTTTTAACTTCAAGTAATCGTAGAGGGGACACTGATAACAATAAAGGAATTCCAAACTCTACTTCTGGTCAGACTTTTAATTACTCTGAGTCCAAGCCAGGATCATTCTATCAAGTTGAACCAATGCGAGGGCCTTCCGATAACATCGAACCAAGTCCAGGGCCTTCCCATCAATTTGAACTAATTCCAGGGCCTTTCCATCAAATTGAACTCATTCCAGGGCCTTCTCATCAAATTGAACCAACTCCAGGGCCTTCCCATCAAATTGAACCAATTTCAGGGCCTTCCAACACACCAACTTCTTTCCAAGAGATTTTGGTGAGTCTGTTAGAAAACAAACAAAAGCAAAATGAGAGTTTACAGCCAAGGAGAAAAAGAATTTGTACCGGCACCGAAATTCTCACAGCCGAAGATTATTTTAAAGGCAAAGAGAAGGAGGAAGAAGAGAGAAGACTGAATGAAAGCAAGAAAAAAAAAACCAAAGAAAGCATGAAAGTAAAAAAGGAGAGTCACGTTTTAAAATAAAAATCCAAAATCGAAACTAAATTTAATAAAAGAAAGGAATGATCCTCTTCAGAAAGTAGTGAGTCATCATCAAATACATCTTTGGAAAAAGAAGGACAGGAAAACTATGTTGATCAAGAGTTCGATCTGATTGACGATGAGCTTCCATCTCTGGAAGATGAAGAACGTCTAGATGAAAACAGTGCTCCATTAGAATTGGAGGAAATCGAAAAAGCACCAGGGTTACGTGAAAAAAATAGATCGCAAGAGATACAAACAGAAAATGTATTGGAAGACGAAATAGATTACAATCACATGGATGTAGAAATCTCTGATTTCGTTCTTTGTAATTTTATTTATAATGAAGGAATAAAAAAAAAAAACACAAAAAGAATAATTTGTATGTAAAATAATTTCGAAAACGAATGAAGAATGTGAACGTGTGTCATGTCTACGGAAGAAGGTAAACTTTTATATTATTCCAAATGTCCCTGACATAGTCAATTTGAAGCGCAACGAAAACTTTCAACACCCATAGAAAAGAGAGGAAGATTTCTCTACGAGGAAGTTCAGCAATGTTTTGTTTTTATACTTACTCATATAGTTCATTCGAGCACTTTATCGTTATGCTTACCCAGAGAATTGGACTTTAAAGTTTTATTTTTATTATTCGTTATTATTTTCTGTTACAGAAACAAAGAAAATTTGTTTTTTTATTTTGTTTTTTGTTCCTTTTGTCATTTTTAATAAACTTTATTTTTTTACCACTTAGTACTACTTTTGTTGCATCTCCCATATTTCCCATAATTCTTGAGCAAAAAAAAAATAAAAATAAATTGGTGGTATCTTCACATATACCTACGTTACACTACATTCCAGTTACCTCAGATTTAGCACTATTTGAATGCATAGGAAAATAGGGGTCACTGTTTCAGTTGCCTCAAAATAAGGGGAACTGGAACAGTTGACCAAAAAAAAATAAAAAAATCTGTAAATCTGTGTAGGACATTCCAATATAAAATCTGTTTTTGCACAACATTAGCTAACCCTTCAAACTAGTTTACCATAATTTTTCAAAATAATTCCTCTCAGAATGACTCCTTTGCAAATATATTTTTCCAGACCGTTGTAAAATTGCGTCCCAGTTAACCAAGTCGACCTTAGTCTACTTTGTGAAATTTCTAAAAATGAGTCTCAGACTCAGAACTTTCATTTCTGAATATGTTGCTAACTTTCCATGACTGTTAACGGATCAGCCTTCAATGGGTTAAGTGTCGTCTTTTCTTTTGTTCTTGTGTTGTGGACTGTATTTTTCTTCATTGTTGAATCTTTTTGGTAGCCTGTGTGGAACGCGCGACGCGTGGTCCTTTTCACAATAAAAAATTGAATTCTGGTTTATTATTTCGTTGCTTGGTTGAAACAATTATTAACTGTTCTTTACGTAAGGGTATGTACCTGCTATAAAACTATGGTATCAGAAATTGACAATTATTGAAAAAAAAAAAAAAAAAAATAAGTTGAAAATATGTACCTATACAAAACAATATAAAAAATTAAATTCCTAGTTCCTGAACAATGACCATTGTTGGAAACAATATTCCAACAGTAAATTTAAAATTCAAATTTTAATTTTCCCGGTATGCACCGGAAGTGTGCGCGTATGTGTCAAACAGTGTCAAAAATCACTTGTCAAAGGTTTTGGTAAAGTGGCTTCCGGCATCTACGCGAGTGAACCAACGGGAACAGTCAGTGTCGAATCGAACCTCACCGAGCGCACCAGATAATTCTGGGCAGGTCCTATATGACCATTTTTACAGACTCTATAAGTCTAAAAACGTAAACAAAAACGAGAAAATGCAAATTGTAAATAGTGTAAATAGTCGTGTGTGTAAATAAATGTAAATATATAAATAATACAGTTCACTCTCATTATTTTAAAGAAACCAACAACCATGACCCATAAAAAATTGCTTTTTTTTTACCTTGGTCCGTCTATTGATTCTGGATAACCTTGATTTTTTTGAAAATTCAGTGTCGCATCCCATTCATCGTATACTTCGCTGGCTGCAGCTACAGACCCTTTTGATGATTTTATTTGGTTTTTCTCATAGCCATATCTTGATTTACTGTGAAACTAAGAGCCATCTGGCATCAATAACCTCATTCCAATATGTCTATGGAATAAATTTTTCTGGTTGACACCCGATTTCAGAGACCATCACGCATACCAGATTTTCGCAAAAATTATTCCATCAAATTGACTCAAACTATAGTTTCAGTGATTGACGCAAATTAATTCCTTTTAAGGTCTGCAAGTCTGTGTGTGATAAACACTTTGACCCATTACAGGAATTTGCAACTTTCAGAATTCATGAATTAAAGTTTATTTCAAAATAAAAATCATGGTGGAAGTTGATTTGACTCTCAGATAAGGGTTGATGATATATTTTCCAGTTAGATGCTCAAAAAAACATGAAATTCCTCTAAAATCAGTTTTGGAGGTTTGTGAAAAATATAATATTGATCCCATCACAACATTTTAAAATTTTCAGAACTCATAAATTAGAGTTTAGTTTGAAATAAAAATCATGCTGGAAGTTGATATGACATTTAGATAGGGATTTATGATATTTTCCCCAGTTTATAATCCTCAAAAAATTATGAAATTCCTCTAAATAGTTATTTTTGTCACAAGTACCTATCTGCACACTACCTATCTGCATCACAAGTACCTACTCATCTGCTATTCCGGACTCGGCTAACGCCTCGTCCGGAAACAGCAATGATCCGTCCTGAAAAACTTCGTTAGGTACGTGTGACAAGCACTATTTTTTGTCATACGCTTTTTAGAATTCTCCAGAACGCTAAAATTTGCAAAATTTCCTTAATTTTTGAAATCATAAAGGTGCATCCAGAAAGAAAAAAAAATCCTAAAAAGAAGTATTTTACGGACTTGAATGAGTCCGTAAAATAGCTGTTTTTGGGAGCGTACACTGAGAAATTTTTTTCATTGTCATAGCTAATTTTTCTGCTGCCGTAGCCAAAACAGAAAATATATTTGTTGTTGTTATTAGAAATGCTTCCTGAAATAGGAAAGCGTTTGTCTCAGAACAAAAAATTTCTTGCCAGAATCAGCCAAGTGTTTTATTAGCCATGGGAAGTTATTTGTCTCACCAATAGCAAAAATATTTTGCTGGAAATCTTTGGAAATATGTAGTAGCGCGTCCATCATAACAAAACCAGGAGATAAACAAACTCTATTTAAACCCCTAAACTTTCATTACCTGATCTGAAATAATGTCAATTAATGAAAAGTTTGGCGCTGGAGTTGTTTCTGCTAGTTTTGATGGATGCACTGGCACCATTTCCAAAAAGATTCCCAGCGACCGACACTCGACTTGACTCGACAGCATCCACGATCCACACCGTACGGCATTAGCTACTAAACTAAAATGGAAGAAAATTAACACGAAACATATTTTATCGGTTATTTTTGGACCCGAAGAAATCACGGAAATGTCCGAACGGTATTTTTAGTTAAGTTATTTGGCTAGGGTAGCAAAAAACATTACTGTAGCAATAACAAAAATTACAGGATTTTTTTTTTGCTGCAACAGTAAAGTATCTATCTATCTTAGAAAAGTTCTATTTCGGAGAAGCAGAAATATTTTCATAAAATTTTAATTTTGCTATAACAGCAAAGTTTGGTTTTGGAATAAGAAATATCTTTGCAGTTTCAATAAAGTAGTTTCAGCAAAGTGGTCTTTTCTGTAGAAGCAAAATAACATTGCTACCCATTTTCCACTGTAACAGCTAAAAAAAAAACAGCAAATAATTTTCTCCTGGGACTTTTCTCAGTGTATGACAAAAAATCAATTTTTAAGGTCTGTGATAGATACTTTGAACCATCAAAGCAACTCGAACTTTTCAGAATCCATAAATCAGAGTTTATTCTGGAATAAAAATCATGAATCAGGAATCTTAAAGACGTCCCTAAGACGTCCACAAACGACACTCAAGACGTCGTTCAGACGTCCAGCTTACGTCTTCAAGGCGTCTCAAAGACGTCGTATGTTGAAAACCCAACGTCTTTCAAGTTTCAGACGTCTGCCCTAAAACAAAAGTACAATTATTATAATTAAATCTATATACAGGGTGTCCCACGAGGTTTTTCCCAAATGATAATTTCGGAACGCATCATCGTATGTTCCAGTGTATAATTTTTTTATCATTTTCTTTAAGAAAGCCTTGATAAATATGGGATCGCCGATTTTGAAATTTAATTTTCTAACGAAAAATGCCATAATATATTGAGTTACATTCAGGATTCTAAAGTTGACGTCACTTGACTTGAATTGAAGCGAAAGTGGCGAAAGATATATGTGAGATGACAATGGTAGAAGCGGCACAAAACCCAGATCTTGAAAATTTCAATTATATTGGATGACGTGTTCCGAATTTATTACTTGGGAAAAACATCGTGGGACACCCTGTATAAAATGAATGATGATATTTATTTATCTTGTAGGTATTGAAATGAATATTATCAATTCGTTTATAATTAAACTATCCTTGTTATAGTAAAATGTTATCCTTATATGAAGTAACTGAAGGAAAAACCGAAGTTACTGCAAATATTGAGAATGTATTCTGTAAAGGGGTTTTGTTACCTTCGCATAATAATACTTTCTGTTGTTGTCCTTTACTACATACCTAATTTTTGTATCAAATTATTATACTATAAGTAACTACTAATACATTTCTCTTAAACCATCAAGTTTTAAATAGGGACATTTTTGCTAGGTAGGTATATCATAATGAAATTATAGCTATGCTACTACTGCTTCTTCAAGGGACTCTTCAACCAGTTATTTTCAGATGTATTTCTGTCTATTTGTTTAACTTCAAGTTTATCTTTCATTTTCACTTCCGTCTGCCATATATTTTGAAAAATAATCATCCATACAATAAACTCTCGTCTTCAGGACTAATATTTCATTATTATTACCTACTAATTTTATAAGTTTCAATTTTAGTCTATTCCATGCGCAGCACTCTGAAATAATTCTGGGATTTTTAAATTGTTCTGAAACTTTTTAAAATGCTGCTGAAAAGTGTTTTGAAACGTTCTGAAAGGTTTCAAGTTCTAAATTGCATCCTAATGCCCGTATTATATCTGTGTATTTTTACGTGTATTTATTCATGTAGTTCAGTATGCCAACATTATTTTGTTTTTCATAATGCTGACTTATAATGCGTTTGAAGTTTTTCGGTTGTCACCCTGAACTACATGAATAAATACACGGAAAAATACACAGATGTAATACAGGCATAATTGTTATAAAATAGTTCTGAAATTTCTAAATTGCTCTGAAATGCTTGGATTTGAAAGGTTTTCGGTGCTTATAAAAGGTCTAAAGTTCTTCTTCTTTATAACTTTTAACCTGAATCCTATGATTCTAGCGCTTTTCAAAAAGTTTCTGGAGATTCTAGAGCTTGAGTATTTTGGAGCGTCCTAAAATGGATTCATAAACGTCTAGAAAATCTGGCTCCGTTAAGTTCTAGCCAGTATCCCAAAGAACAACCCTTCCAAATTTGAGAATTCTAGCCAGAATGGCGTGGAAAGACTCCATAAGAAAATTATATATGTAGATGACCTTTGAGAAGGTCCCCAGTAGCTTTGGGCGCCTCAAAACATACAGCTACTCACCAGTTTCTCAATCTAGAAAAAAGATTTGAAAAGATTGCTTATCCAAAGCCTTGATATCACGACTTTATTACTGAATACGTCTATTTCCAATGACCAAAATGACGAATCTGGATATTTTCTTCCACATCACGGCGTCTTTAAGGAATCCTCAACAACAACTAAGCTAAGAGTTGTATTCGACGGTTCATCTTAATCCACTTCGAATTATTCACTTAACGATATAATGATGGTAGGCCCCAATATCCAAGATAACTTGTTTTTTATTTTATTACGATTTTGAAAACACAAATTTGTCCTGAGTGTCGACATTGTTAAAATGTACCGACAAGTACTCGTACAAAATGAACAAAGAAACTTACAAAAAATCCTTTGGCGTTTCAAACCTAACGACCAACTTTCTGTATATCTTTTGAATACTATCACCTATGGAACTGCACTGCAACTGGTTCAGCCTTTCTTGCCATCAGAGCTCTACATGAAGTAGCATATAGACACATAAATGAATATCCTAAACTTGCTTCTATTATATTCTACGATTTCTACGTAGATGATTTATTGACTGGTTGTGATACTTGATGAGTTACATTATCAAGACACATATTTCTGAACCTTTACTTCAATATGGTTTTCCCTTACAAAAATTGAAATCAAATCACAATTCAATACAAAATACTCTCTTGCATGGCTCAAATTTTTGATCCTTTGGTTCTTCTCTCTCCCGTTACCATTATATTACCCAAATTATTCTTCAGGAGCCCTGGAAATTGAAACTTTCTTGGGACGAGTCCATTCCAGCAAACCTACACACTCTTTGGTCCAATTATCGATCAGAATTGTTGAAAATTAATGACCTAAAAATACCTCGACACATCCTATGCATCAATCTAATTTCTGTTCAACTACATGGTTTCGCCGACTTATCACAATCCGCCCATGGCGCATGCATTTACATTCGATGTACTGATGCTGGTGGTAATTACACAACCACACGAGAAACCCCATTAAAGGTTATCTCAGTACCCAGGCTCAAACTATATGGTGCTCTTTTGCTGGCAGAACTCACCGATAAGGTTATTTCTTCCCTTAGTATTACCTTTGAGTCAATCACTTACTGGACCGATTCAATAATTGTTAGATCTTGGATTATTACATCAGCCCATTTGCTAAAGATTTTTGTTGCAAACCGGGTGTCCCAAATTCAGTCACTTTCAAATGAAGGTTCCTGGAAATACAGTATCCGCCAAAATAAACAGTACTGAACATATAAATTATATATCATTTATTAATTTGTATCATGCGTATGTTCAAAAAATGCATCATAGAAACGCAAAAAAGCTTCATAACGATTCTGCAAATCATTGAGAATATTTATTAGGAGTGGTTGCTGAAATTTTGAGACCTGTTACAAACTTGAGCCCTTATTCCTTCCAAATCCGTATGACCGGAAATAGTGCTCTAATAAGAAAACTGTTTCTTAAGTTGACAGATACATAATAACGAAGATTTTAACCTTAACCTAATGTCAACCTCATAACTAATCCCAAGTAAGCGAAATATGATAAATGCAACTTGCGTGCGCAATTACTCAGAGCTCTGGATTTCAGTACTGTTTATTTTTGCGGATACCGTACGTTAAGGCCATGGAAAATCCTGCGGACCTATTATCAAGAGGTATGAATCCTTCGGCATTAATAACTTCTGATCTTTGGTTCAATGGCCCTTTATGGCTGAAACTACATGACAGTGAATGGCCTTCTTATACTAGAGAGGCACAAATCGTTGATTAAACTAAACTTCCAGAAACATCTAACAAAACTTTAATTGATGAGATGTCAAAATACTCTTTTCTTAAAAGCCTAAAAAGAATATTCGCTTACATACTGAGATTTAAAAATAATTTATCGGAAACTAAAGAATTTCGTCAAACTGGATTTCTTGCCACTGAAGAGTTAGACAATTCTCTTAACATTTTTACACAAATTGTACAACTTTTCCAGACGATTATCACAAATTATCCATCTCTGAATCTCTTGACAAACATAGTATAAGCTTCTCGGATTAAATCCATTTTTTGAAGAACATACTAAATTAATAAGAGTTGGTGGACGTTTGCAAGGCTCTAACTTTGACTTTCGTAAAAACATCCTTCAATATTACCTGCCAAACACCACTTCACAACTCTAATTGTCCGATGTGAACATTTCAGTTTTTTTCATGCTGATCCACAAGCTCTACTTGCTTCTATCAGAGAACAATTTTGGCCAATGTCTGGTCGCAACCTCAATCCCAAACCAGAACGCTATTTAATGGTTAACCTTCCTACGTCTTGTATAACTCCAGCTCGACCCTTTTCCGTATCCGGAGTAGACTTCGCCAGTCCATTTTACTGCGTGACAGAAAGGGTCGTAATTACAAATCCACCAAAGCATATATTTCTCTTTTTGTGTGCTTTTCTAGTAAAGCGATCCATCTGGAGGTTGTCAGTGACCTTACTACCGAATGCTTTCTAGCAGCATTACGACGTTTCATGGCTAGGCGCGGTAAATGCTCAAAATTAGTTTCTGACAACGGCACTACGTTTGTGAGTGCCAGTAATGAAATACGATATTTTCTTGTTCAGCACAATGACACTATCACTAAAAATTTATCAAGCGAAGGGATTCAGTGGAGCTTCATTCCTCCACGTGCGCCACATTTTGGTGGTCTTTGGGAGTCAGGTGTCAAATCAGTTAAATATCATTTGAAACGTGTAATGGGTAACAGCGCCTTAACTTTTGAAGAATTTTGCACGGTTTTATATCGAATATAAGCTTGTCTCTCTTCCAGGCCTCTGTACCCACTTTCCCAAGATCCTAATGACGTCCACTCTCTCAATCCCGGACATCTGCTAATTGGAGAATCATTGACCGCCTTGCCAGACCACGACTTTGTTGGAGTCAAGAAAAGTTGCCAATCCAGGTTCCAACGAATGCAACAACTCCTGCAGCACAGAATACGTCATATCGCATCTTCAGCAACGTGTGAAATGGAAAAAACAGTGTCAACAATCATTGAAAACTGGCACTTTGGTGATTGTTACAGATGATGGACTTCCTCCTCTAAAGTGGCAATTAGGGAGAATTTCACAAACACATGCTGGAAATGACAATATTATCCGATCTGTTTAAGTGAAATTAAACGTCCAGTGGTGAAAATTTGTGTTTTACCTAATCAAAATAAACACTAGAAAGGAGACTATAAATTATTGTAAACTTTTGGACTTTTACTATATTTTGAAACCCTGAGGACATTCAAGGTGGGGGGCTTATGTCTTATGTTGCGTCATTACGGCCTGTGTATATCCCTATATCCCCACAAAAGCAAGTGCCCTACGACGCTCGGAGAAAACCAGCTGGTACGAGGCCCTATTCTCTACCCTCTCTGCACTCGATTTTGATACCTGTTGCGACAGGGAACGTACCACTTCGGCAAAAAACACACGCCATTTTGTACCACCTATTTTTTCTGAATGTTAGTTAATTTTTCCGTAATATAATTATTTAAAAAACGTGAAATTTTCAGATTCTTCCACCTAAAACATAACACATGTATTTATCAAGTTATATACAGGGTGAATAATAGACTGATGTAAAAACACAAAAAGTTTGGATGTTTGCGATTGGCAATATTTTTTTCTCGGATTTCGGAATAGGTGATTAGTGGGTCAATATCAATATCTCCAGACGTTTTGGCCAGTTTTTCGATAAGGGCCCTTTGGCAGCAGATATACATAGGTACTACTGAACAACAAAGTTGGCAAAATCTTCTAAGCACAATATTTAAAGGGCTGTAGCTGTATAAAAAAAAAGTATTTGTAATACCCATTTAGAATAACCCCATCCTTATTTATCAATCACGAATCAGATGAAACAAAAAATTACCAACAAAAACGAACGTCGATTGCTAATACGTCAATTTCATGCACAGATAGGAAATTCCTACGTTTTGTCACTAGAACGACTGGTACTTCTAAATAGGTATTAAAAATACAGCTTGAAAACGGTTGTATCGATTTCGAACAGTATTGCAGGTTTCGAAGATCCATTTTAGCACCACTATGGGCATTATGTTGAAACAATGTGGCTTACGCTTTTTAATGGATTGTGAAACGTTTTCCTCCACTATAAGAGTGTTGTGAGACCTCTAAAAAAAATAAGCTTTCGAAACCTGCAATGCTCTTCGAAATCGATACAACCGTTCTCAAGCTACAGCTCTTTAAAAATGTGGCATGCTTACAGGATTTGATTAACTTTATTTAGTTTCGTATCTGCTGACAAAAGGCACTTATTAAAAAACTGGTCAATACGTCTGGAAATATTAATATTAACTTACTAATCACTTATACCGAAATCCAAAAAAAGAAATATTGCCAATATGGCAGACATCCAACTTTGTACTTTTGCATCAGTTTATTATTCACCCTGTATATTACTTGAGAAATGCATTCATTCATTTCTATGAAAAAAAACTCACAAATCAATTAATAATTTATTTATTTACACAAACCTACTCTATCTTTATACTTTTTCTAGACAAATCCAAGTGAACCTCGTGTTTTGGAATTATTCTCAATATCCTCAAAAGTTTTTTCGTACAATAGTACAAAGCTATCAGTCCTAGAAGCAAAAACACTAGCACGTCTAATGAATAATATTCGATAACGCCCATATGTCTACTGGGTGATTGTAGGTGTGAGGCGCCTTTATGTCTTAAGACGTATTCGGTCCAATAAACTGCTTTGTCTAGAGGGGTATCTGTTTGGTCTAGCAGAAGTTTCTGACGGTACTTTACCTATGAATAAAAATCAATTCAGTAAGAAAGTCAGACTCATTGACTAGTATATCACTCACTTGTGTCTTATATTTTGGATCCCTGATGACAGTCTTGATAGCTCTCAGCAATCTTTCAGGTGTGATAGTGTAGAGCTCTAGTTTCATAGCGTAACCGTCACTTTCCGCTTTGGCAGCGTTGGAATCGTGATCGCAAAATACTGGCAACGAAACCACCGGAACTCCGTGGTAAACTGTTTCAAACATACTCAGCAGTCCTCCGTGAGTGACGAACGCTTTCAGCTTTGGATGACCTGTGAATGATAATGAATTCAAAGGTTAATGATTCTTTTGTATTCAGACGATACGATCTATGTACAGATGTTAAACATATTGAAGAAGATGCAGAAGTTGCAGATAGTATGAAAAGCAGAATTTGAAGACGAACAGAAATCAAATGATGAATAGACTATACCTAATATATCCTGTTGTGGTAACCATTTTCCTAGCATGACATTGCTGGGAATATCACTTAGATCGTCACCTTCGTATTTCCACAAGACCCTCTGGGGCAAGTTTCTGAAAACAACCATCAACAAGGCCCTAAAGTATTCGGGAATATTGCTGGCTCTCACTGACGAGCCCATGCTAAAGTAGATGAATCCCTCGTCACCTGAAGCTTCAATGAAACGTTCCAAATGCTACAACAACCAGGAATCACATTTTTTTTTAAAATAAATTTATTTTCAACAATTACCTCGGGCAATTTTTTTGCAGGTCTACAATGTAAACAAGCAACTTCAGCAACGTTAGGCAAAAAGGGCCTAGGGTGCGTAAGCACCGGATGGCCATTTTGCAAAATGAAGCTCACATTTTTCGAAATGTCATAAATTCCGGGCATGTCAGACCCAAAATGTTTCCTAACGATCGGCTGGATTTTGTTCCTGGTCATTACTGAATGCATTAAGTTGCCTAACAAGTGAAAACACATGTTTTGGACCTGGAAATATTCCAATTAATTCACTTTTTGATTTTTTGAGCTAAAATTCTTACTCTTTGCAAAAAGCTCATGTTGTCAGTGAAAGGCCTTGCAAGAAACGGTGTAATGGAAAAAGGTGTTGGGTTACCAGCCAGCGATAAGGATCCCATGTACATTCCAACAGTGTTGATGTAGATAAACGGAGCCCGATAATGATGTACAAAGCCCATTGCGCACTCTGGATAAGCTCCGTCTACTATGAGCAAATCAAACTTCTGGCCCGAATATAGGAACTCTTTGGTTTCTGGATCTGAAAGGAATACTTCGCATGCCTGAAAAAAAAAAATCTTTTTTGCATTGACGAGAGATTTAGGTACCCTAATAAATGAGCGTACTTATATAAAAAAAAAGGGGCGGTATATGAGTATAAAAGACAAACCACAAAAGGACGCTTCATAAGTTTACTTCTGAAAGTTTGAGAATTCAAGTTTCAAGAGGATAAATCGGCATTTTCTTGGCTATATCGTTAACATTGAAAAGGAGTTTCTTTGTAATATACGGATAAGGCGAAGTTAATTTTACAAAGGGGAAATTTTAATATGTCTTGCATTATTTTGAATATTAGAAGGAGCATAAAGGAAATAATCTACCTATTATAAGAAAAAATCATGAGAGGCAAATTTGGTAGAAAGATTCTTTCTTTTGTGTACGAAGTTTTTGGGTCTTTTCTTATTTTTTTTTTACCCATATTCTCTTGAGCTTTCTCTATTGAAGGGATTTAGAAACAATAACCAAATAAATGAAAATGAGTTTCTTATTTATAATGTGAAATAATTGTTTTTATATTCCAGGCACTTGAATTTTCCTTATGTAGATAAATTTGAGGAAAACCAGAAATTCAAAAGCCGGGAATAGACAATGAGAAAGGAAATTTAAGAAAAAAAACCTGAAATTAGTCATACCTCATACCCGAATTTAATCATGTCCAAAAATGGCACCGGTTCCTCCCCTCTCATTCTGGAACCAACCAAATCCCAGTTCGTGAAATTTCTCACGTAAACTACATAACTACTTGGAGTGACTTCTTCTAAACCTAAAAATAAAAATATTTGCTTCAATAAAAATACCGTTAAAATTAACTTAAGCTCACCCTCCATATAAAAATCACTTGGAAACGCGCTCAAAAACGTAATATTGTGTCCTTTGGGTATCAATCCTCTAGCCAATTCCCAAAACGGAATTTTGTGAGACTTCGTACCACCCATGGTGATCATAAGGATATTTGCACAAGTACATGAGTTTATCACAGTAAGTACCAAGATGGTGACTATGTGGTACCATCTTGACATCATTTTTCTGAAATTAGAAATTAAACTCATTAGTTTATTAATTGTATAAAAGGTTTTTAATTCTAAAAAGCTCTTGGGAAAATGAAAAAATCACTTTAATGATAATAAAATTGGATTATGTCTCTATTGCGTCACAGTGCGTGGAGCCTATTTTCCTTTTACTGATTAATTTAAGATTTCCCCAGGTGCAAGTTTGCCTATTGAAGGTTTGGAAAAAAAAATACTATCAAGCTTTTTTTATTCAATTGCATAAGAGATATTGCTTCAAATATGTAAAGAGGATATAGCGCCAAGAGATTTCCTTAACAATATATGCATGATATTGGAAATTCACTTTTAAATGCAACATTTAATAAGTATAATAAGCATATTCTAAAAGAAATTGAAGTAGATACAAATTTTTAAGAAATCCAAAGAATGGATTTCAAGCAGCTTCAGATGGTATCTGGTATCTAATATTGCTGCTGAATTGTGCGGAAATGTTTCAAACTTATTTGAGATCACAACACAAATTCATCAGCTTCAGAAACATTTTGTGGAAAATTTCAAAATCAAAAAAGTTTTCGAGTATTGTGAAACATATAACCAAAGAGAAATTTCTTTCGGAAAATGACAAGTTTTCAATAATTGAAGCTCCAAACCAACTGCTTATGCCATTGGATTAGGAATCATTGGATGCTGATGCTGCGCTAATTGCATACCAGTTTCGAGCTTAGCTCTCGTCAGTGCAATGTAGGCGAAAGCATTCCAACGCAGAGAAACCGATTTTACCCAAAGAGAATCTCCTCTCTTTAGTTTTATATTCCACGGTTCTATCAGCCAGAATCCAAAGATTCCGAATGAGATTTATGCGATTTTCGTATGATGTACAGTATATTCCTGGCAGAAACATGATAATGCCTGACGTATCATCCAGAGCTCCACTAAAATCTAGTGATCACGGAGCAATTATTTTATTCGTCAACGAACTCATAGGAAAAGTAGAAGATTTTGCAAATCATATTTGTGAATCAATCGCTATCAAGGACATGCGCATAAAAAGTATCTTGAAATGTCAGAAGAATGATGTCCAAACCTAAAGAATAATAACTTTTATAAAAAATGGTTAGCCACACATTAAGGATTTACCAACCGAAGATAAAATTTTCTACCAATATCAAGGAGAGATGGTTATATTGGATAGCTTAGTAACCCGCAACAACAGAGTATTCATCCCGACGACATTACGCAAGGAAATATTGGGCAAAATACACGAAGGTCATTTGGGCATGACGAAATGTTTAAGCCTAGCCAATGAAACGGTATGGTGGCCCAAAATCTCAAAACAAATAGAAGAAATTGTAACCAATTACTCAACATACATTCAATACAGGAATACAACAATTGAACCAATGATTCCTTCCCCTGTGCCAGATTACCCCTGGCAGATCGTCGGAGTTGATTTATTCGTGGCCAACAACAAACATTATTTGGTGGCAGTCGATTATTTCTCAAGATTTATAGAGGTTGCCAACTTAAATTCAGAAAATGCTGTAGATGTCATAACGAATCTGAAACCCATGTTGTCAAGATGGGGAATACCAGAGACCATTAGATCAGATAATGGGCCACATATTCAAACAATTTGCTCAGACATATGGATTCAGTTATTTGACAAGCAGTTCTAGGTATCCTCAATCGAATGGCCAGGCGGAATTCACTGTAAAAATAGCCAAGAATGTAATTCTAAAATAAAAAAAAACCCAAACTTAGGACTGTTATGTTATAGAAGAGCAAACTAGAGAGTGGATTTTCACCAGCAGAACTGATCATAGGAATTCAATTCCAGCTAACAAAGACAGATTTATCCCTAATTGGAAGTCAGAAGCAACAAAAAAGAAGTTCAAATATTGAATTTTAATAAGCAACATGGAGCAGGCTCCAATTCTACCTTGAAAAATAACGAAAAAGTTTTGATACCCGAATTGTTTAAACAGAAGCCAAGTTATAGAAGCAACCTCAGAAGCGATGACAAGACTAGAGCAAGGGACAGATACTCGACTAGAAATGTCCAATTGGGAACTCTCCGAGAGTTGTAATGATGAGTCAAGCTCCGAATCAGAGGGTGACGATGGAGGGAATGATATGAACACAGAATACAGTTCAGCCTCATCACAAAGTTGTGGACCAGAAATTGAAGGCAATAGCTCCGAAAGTGACAACGACTCCAACCACTCCATAATATCTAAGCCAGGCTCCGAGAAGAAGACCGAAGTCTATAACTCCACTCACCAGAGATACACCACCAGATCAGGAAGACTAGTCAAGCCGGCACGTCGTTGCACCTGCAATGGAATGTGTGTTGAAGATTAGTTAAAACAAAAGTGAGAGTGAACATTGTATATATATACATGTCGTTTTAGAACATCTTTCTTCGTTATCCGACACCTAATTTCCATCTTCTTCTATCGTCGCAATCCTCTAATCTGAGATTTCTTTCACTCATGGACTTTTGTATGGTCTTCTGCCATTCCAGTTTTGGTCTTCCTCGTTTTCTTCTACCTGTTGGTTGCCAGTGCAGCATTTTTCTGGGCCAACTGTCATTTGGCATTCGTTCTACGGGTCCGTACCAGGTAAGTTGTTTCTTTTCAATGTCCTGGACTATCGTACCTTCTATACGCATTTGTTGTTTTATATTGTCGTTCCTTATTCTGTCTCTTCGTGAGATTCGCATGGATCTTCTAATAGCATCCATTTCAACTGCTTCCACTTTTTTCTTTTGTCTGTCTGTAACTCTCCAAGCTCTTTATCTTTGTCTCGTGTATATTAAATTTTCTCTTCTTTGTAATTTCCTTGCTCCATAATATTCCTTTTAGGCATCCTATTACTTTTTTAGCTTTAACTATTCGCTTTTCTATTTCTTTCACGTCTGTTTCGGTGTTGTCGAATGTGATACCTAGATACTCATATCATTGAAATTGCAGAATTTCCTGACCATCTTCCACCTCCAAGTTTCCGTTCTGGTTTTCTACACATAGATATTTTGTTCTATTTATAATAACTCTCAGGCCCCATTCTTGATACTCTTCTATCAGCTTTCTAATCATATATTGCATGTCCTCTTTGTCACTGGCCACTATGACCTGATCATCTGCAAACTGAAGAGTAAACAGGCACCTATCATTTATCTCTATACCCATTCCATGGATCTTCCTCTTCCAATTTTTCAGTGCTACTGCTACGTATATTTTAAAAAGCGTAGGAGAGATACAACATCCTTGACGTAGTCCTTTATTTACTATAAATGTGTCTGTGAGTTTTTTACCTATCTTAATTCTTGATTTTGAGTCCTTATATAGTTCTTTAACTGCCGTTATGTAGGTGTGATTGATGTTTGTGTGTTCTAATACCTTCCATAGTCTGGATACTGGGACTGTATCGTATGCTTTTTGTAGGTCAACAAATGTGAGGTGGGTTTCCAAATATCTAGCAGATCTTTTTTCTATGACTTGTTTTAGGCAAAATACGTTGTCCGTACCTGATCTTCCTGCTCTAAAGCCGCACCGCTCTTCTTCTTCTTGCTCTTTATATTCTTCTTCAATGAGATCACGCAGGATTCTACCGTATAGTCTGCTTAGTGTGCTTGTGCCCTGATAGTTATTGCAATCCAGCTTATTTCCTTTTTTGTGAATGGATGAAATAAAAGCCGTTTTCCAGTCTTGTGGAACAGGATGTCCATTTAGGCATTTATTGATAATACATGTGAGACCTTTAAAGAGCTTCTCAGTTCCCCATTTCAGCATTTCTGAGTATATCCCTTCTGGGCCGCTAGCTTTACCTGACTTAAGATTCTTGACAGTCTTTTTTACTGTTTCTTCAGATATCTCAACTACTTCTCCATGTACTTCAATATGTCTTGGAGAATCTCATATATATTCCGGTCTACTTTCTTGTAATAGACCCTTGTAATGTTCTACCCATTGCTCTGGTTTAATAATCTGGATATTAGCTCTGTCTTTTCCTGGGTTTTTCACATTTGATATAAACCTCCATACCTCTGAGCATTTCCTTCCTCCTATGTAGGTGTTAATTTCTTCACATTTCTTATCCCATGACCAGTTCTTAGCTATAGTGATGCACGTTCTTAGTTGTCTTTTTGTGCCTTTATAAACTTCAACGTTTTGTTCATTTTTTGTTGTTAGCCATTTCAGATATTTTTGCTTCTTCTGTTGGAATAATATACCTCTGATATAGAAATACAGTGCTGTCATCTCTAAAACTGTCAAAACTATAATTTGTTGTATCCACTGTGTCCCTTAGTATGGCATTGGTGTTTTGTTCCTCTGGGTTCTTTTTCATTTTCCTAAATTGCAACTTTATTTTGGCTCTTACTAAAAAATGATCTGACCCGTAAGTTTTCCTCTTAGGACTGTTACGTCGTTTATCTCTATGTTTGTTTTTTGTTTGCTTATCACATAGTCAATAATAATTTTCAGGTTACGGGTATTCTGTATCCATGTGTAGCGGTGAATATCTTTGTGTTTGAAAAATCCATTATTTATTCTAAGATTGTGGGTCTCACAGAGATGTTTGAGCCTTTGGCCATTATCATTGATTATTTCTTCTCCAAATGGTCCTATAACTGAGCAATTGTTCGCCCTCCCGTTCTTCCATTGAAATCCCCTAGCATTATGATTTCTCTATTTCTTCCAATATTTACTAGGAATTCATCCAATTTGTCAAAGAACTCCTGCTTAATGCCGACTCTTTCGTCCTCTGATGGAGCGTAGGCTGCTATAATGGTGATGCTATAGCCATGTAGTTTCAAGTTTACCGTTAGGATATTTCCATCAACAGCTTCCCAGTTGTTAATTTTGTTTTTCCAGTCTTTCCTTATCAATATGGATACCCTTCTAGCTGCTCTGAACATTGTATAGGGTGCTGTAATTTGGAGTGTTTCAACAGGAAAAACACACTTCCAGACCAGATAGAGGAAAATTGACTTAGATGTCATGGGATTGATTTTCG